AGCGGGTCCAATATTAGATTCCACATTGTTGGTCCCCCTATTGAACCCTGAACGCAGCCTTTGTTAGTTACTTTTTCAACCGTTTGTCCAGCGTAGGTTAATTTTATTTGTCTTTCGTGTAAGTAACTATCCATTACTTTCCTTAGTTTTAATGGGCATTGTTCTTCTGCCAGTCGGACTCTAATTTGCGGCCACCAAGCGCTGTCAAATGCGCCCTCTATACCGAGTGATACGATTGTTAGTAGCCCCTCTTATATTTCAATACCAGAGGATAACAATTGTAGAAATTTGTAAATCTGTCTTGAAATCAACATATAAAACTTTATTTTACAGGTAAAAGTACTGAAGAGGCCGCGCTTCGAAATCGCTAAACTCATGGAATTGCATGGAGAAGGTTAGATTTTTACTATCTCAATTATATATTCAATTTCAAAACTTACAATGATGATCCACCTAGCTCGCAATGACAACAAAACTGATGAAAAATTTTGTTCCCTTTTGATTTTAATGCTGATTAGATTGTTAATATTCTAAGATGAATACTGTATAGGGAACAATGTTAATGTTTTATTTTATTTTAGGTGGCGGCGGCAAGCGTGGAGAAGTAGGAGAGACAGGCGAGCGTCCTGAGGGATACGAGCCTCCAGTACAGGAGAGTGTATAAGAATATACGTTTAAAGTGATTTGTGTGTTTTATTTCATACATTCGAAATCTCTCGTTAATACATACAATATATAAACCTTAATTGACATGATTATTCCAATAACTATACAAAAGTAATAATTTTATTAACATTAAAAAATTGTGAGCGTCAGAATGGACGGTCACTAGTCGTGTAGAACGTTAAAATGTAGTTTAAAAATTACTTCCCAATTGCTTCTATTTGATTCCTATTATAAGACATTTGCTTCCTGATTATCTTGGGAGAACCATAAGCATTAATACGGTTACCGTCCATTCTGACGTCAGAATGGCTGGTCACCTATTCTTTTGTACTCCCTACAATGAATTATCGATTAATTCATAGTTCATATTTTGCTTCCTATTTGCTTCTTCCTAGGTTTTCCAACCTCGATGCTGTACCTATCATGGAATTAAAATATCGAACAATGTTATTACAATACCCCCAGGTGCAGCGCCTGGTAAAAATATACAGGCAAAAAATATTTTGTTAAAAAAGTTTAATTATGGTTTATTTATATAAATAAAGGTAGGTAGGTAGTAACAGAACCCCTAACTATATGTACTTTAACGGTAAAAACTTTCACAAAGTAAAGGAATCACTTTTTTTTTATATTGAATACAAAGAGAAAATAAAGTTATTTTTCATTTAAAATTATTTGCAACTATTTTTAGTAGGTATGATGAATCCAGGTGATCTTAAATGAGGGGTAGTTTAATTTTTATTACACTTGTGTGATGAATTCTCATAATTGATTCTGTTGTATAATAAAATGCTTGCTTCGTTACAACAATTATATTATTCAATACTTCTTCTTATTGTCGTAGATTGGTTTGTTGGCATCAGCCATTTAATGTCGACATTAGAGTCTACTGTTTAAAGGTTTCTGCTTGTTCGACCGCTCAATGAACTGAGAGCCGCACCAGTTCCTGTATTTATAGCAACCAGAATTATAATTCATAATTTATTATATTAATACATGAAAGTGATCACATTATGTGCCAGTCATCCGATCTATGTGTGAAAATAACAATAAAAGAGGTTTATAAAATCAGATCATCCATTGCCAAAACTTATTTTAAAAGGTTCAAAACGGAGATATGCTAGAAGTTGCTTGTGAATGTAATGTGTTAAATAATTAAATATATTTGATTCAACTATGGGTTCGGTGTACTTAAATAATATATAAGAGGGTTAAAATTACATTTGAAACAATATCCAACTTTCTGTTTATAAAAACATGGAATTCATGAGCACCTCAAAATCAGGACTTAGAATCAAACCTATATGAAATACAAAAAAGGTAGAAATGCATTAATATTGCCACGCAACTAACCATACCGGACCGAATAAATAGGCTTAAAAGGCGACAAATCCTAAGTCTTGATAGACACGTTAAAGAGAGGAGCATCTGATGAATTTTGCTTTGAACGCCTAAAGCTCTCAACACATCTCTGTAGTCTAGCTGACTGATTGCAAGATAAAGACTTATAAAAAATATATATATATAATATAATTTATGGAATTCTGCTTGAGTGTTCTCTTTACAGTGCAGATGAAAAAGCGTCTGCACTAATTCAACCTGCCCTATAAATGAATTAGTTAGAAAAGTGCGTTACGTACATGATACACATGTAAACGATATTGAAGAAGCAGCGAATAGACAAATGCTCGATACACCCACCTTTATACCATGCCGTCAAGCAACTTGCGATGGTATCAAATCATTTGAACTGATCTTACGCAACATTATTAGTTTTGAAATATCGGATGAAACTGTTTCTGTTTATGAAGACCAACAAACCTATTTTTACAGGGTAACGAATAGAATTGATTTCAATAATTGAATTTTTCCTGTATTGAATCACTAAGAAATTGTAGGCGTGAAAATGTATGGAATGCTACGATGATATGAATACAAGGATAATAGAAGTCCACACTGTATTTTATAAAAAAAAAGGGATAAGATTAAATTAATTAAAAAGACTTAAGAAAAATTAATGAATGAGTATTTACCTATTTCTATTATACCAATTCATTTTATTTTATTTTCTTTGTATTCAATATAAAAAAAAAGCGATTCCTTTACTTTGTGAAAGTTTTTACCGTTAAAGTACGTTAGGGGTTCTGTTACTACCTACCTACCTATATTTATATAAATAAACCATAATTAAACTTATTTTAGCCAAATTTTTCCTGAAACCAGGCGCTAGGGGGTATGTAATAACATTGTTCGATATTTTAATTCCATGATAGGTAGCATCGAGGATGAAAACATAGGAAGAAGCAAATAGGAAGGAAATATGAACTAGAAATAATCGTAGTTCATTATAGGTGAGTACAATAGGATAGGCGACCAGCCATTCTGACGTCAGAATGGACGGTCACTAAAATTGTTTGTTCTCCCAAGATACTAAGGAAGCAATTGTCTTGTAGTTGGAATTAAATAGAAGCAAATTGGGCAGTAACTTTTTAAACGACATTTTAACCGTCACGACTAGTGACCAGCCATTCTGACGCTCACAAAATACCGAGCAAAAAAAAAAGTAAAAATAAAATGAATTGGTATAATACAAATAGGTAGCTAAATATTTTATTACATTAATCGAAATAAAAATAAATGTATCTCTTTCAATAATTTTTCTTAAATCATTTTAATTAATTTAATCTTATTCCTTTTTTTTAACGTATACAATACATTGTGGAATTATTTTTACCCTCCGCTTGTCTGCAAATAACGAAAATATTACAAGCGAATACAAAACACAAGTGTAATTAAAAACATAACTACCCTCATTGAAAATCACCTTGGATTCAACATACCTACCTAGAAAAATAGTTGCAAATAATTTTAAATGAAATATAACTTTATTTTCTCTTGTATTCAAAATAAAAATAATGATGTTTTTCCTTTAGTATGTCAAACATACTTATAGTTAGGCGTTCTCTAGACTGTTACAACCTACATTTATTTATTTAAATAAACCATAAATAAACTTATTTTTAACAAAATAATTTTGCCTCTATATTTTTACCAGGCGCTGGGGGGAATTGTAATAACATTGTTCGATATCTTAATTCCATTATAGGTACAGCATCGAGGTTTGAATACCTAGGAAGAAGCAAATAGGAAGCAAAATATGAACTATGAATTAATCGATAATTCATTGTAGAGAGCCAGCGTATTGGTTCGTGTTGACGCTGCCGGACGTATTGCCTGTTTTCTGTTAATTGAGTGCCGTCTACATGCGTTCTTTTAAAAATGGGTTTCTTTCTACATCCGAAAATAATTGTAAAATTTAGTTTCATCTTCTTCCAACTGCGTAAAAGTGTGGTGCATTTTAAACCATATTTTTCCCTTTCCAATAATATAGGATGCACCCACGATGACCTTTTACGGTTTTCTATTTCATTTTGTTTCTTCTTGTACAAATAGTAGGCCAATACGAGTTTTTTTTTTATTATTTCACACGTGTGAAATCTCTGACTACCAGTTCAAAACTAACGCATATAGACTGCAGTCCATCCATCCGGTAAAAATAAATGTGTACAAGGATAGCCGTTTATTGACGGTCCATTATCCGGTGAAAAAAACGGACGTCTACAAGCGCTCTTATATGTTATAAATGTTAATATATATAAATATACGAATAACAAATTATATTTGATTAAATGCAACATGACGATTTTACCGTGTTCAATCTGTGATTAAAAATCATAAATAAGACCGTTGAAAGATTTATATAAATATTTGCTAGACGTAGTTTTCGTTAAGATTTAGTTATTGGTCGAAACTCGTAAACAGCAAACGTGATTTCTGTTGTATTTCACACGATTCACAATAAAAAAGTATGTAAATATTACAATAACAGTTCATTTTAAATCTATATAATATTACATAACAAGGTTTTAATTGAAAGAGATTTTCATCTTCAAATAGTTATTTTAAATCTAAACATCTTACGAATATATTAAAGTTACTTATGGAATGTCTGTCTTAGTAATATGGACTTAAATTTATATGATATCCTAAGTAGTATCGTGCCATGTATGTATAAAGCAAAACTGGCACAGCCAGTTTACTATATCTTGAAAATATAAATTCATACAACAAATACTATTAAAAATTGTACATTCAAAAATCAAATGTATACTTCAGTGGGAAAAGGGATATACACCAATAAGGACATTGAAATGGCACATGGAATTAAAATGTGTTACAATACCAATGTTAAATTATAAGGTAAACTTCACAGACAATGTCATTCTGTCTGTCCTATATGTAATCTAAAGCACTAGCCCAAAATAAATGCATTATCAGCTAAGTTTGACCTCTTCATTTGGTATAATTTTCACTGTCGCGCATGGCTTTTTCCTTCGTGTTACCAACATGATGAGAATGCATAGCCCAGAAATAATCAACGTTAGTATGAAAAATACAGTTAATCCGAGTTGAGCTGCCGCCGTTGAAAAAGTTCCGTGGTACACGAGCGTTCGGAGGCTTTCAGGGAGTTCTTCAACCGTCTGAAATTAAGAATAATGTTATTATTATTGGAACATTCTTCCGCTTTCTGGAAAATCTTGAGTTAAATTCATATTTTTTTTGTGTAAATCTGTATGTAGAAATGCTTAAAAGAAATACATTAACATAGGTTTCTGACGAAATTAAAAAGTCGATTGCAAATTACATATGGACAAATAAATTACAGCTTCTAATTCTTTCATTATAACGGATAATGACTTCGAATTGCTTGACTTTTTTCTCTGACACAAAATTTCTAAGTAAATATAACCTAATCAAATCTTTGGCTTTCAATCTTACCATTTGAATCCATGCAACTGGCAGAATCATTTTTTCCTCCAAAAAGTTTAGTGTGCTGATAAATGATGATTTTCGTACAATTATGTTGAGTTGTAAACTGTAAATATGAAGGTTTTCATTTACTTATGATGTATTTAGTTGTTGAAATTATTCTTAAAAACCAAATCAGAGTTATAGCGCTCTTCTAAAGTACTTTTTTTACCCAAAAGTTTACTATGTTTTTTGTAACTAAGTAGTTCGTTCTTTTTGTAATCGGTGATAAGGAGACATGGTTGGGTATAATATTAATTTCTTAATAAAACTTAACTACCTCGATTTTCCACTAAGCGAAATTCCAAGAGTTGGGTGAATATCAAGGTACGAATCGTGGAGTTCAGGATTAGGCTCCAGTCCTTCAAACGGCTCACGCAGTTTGGGGTCTCCGAGGTAGAAGTGAGGGAAGGACGCAAGTAATGGAGCACCTGGAAATAGAATGAAATTGTTTGTGTATCCTGTTGTCCTACGTGTTGAATATTCGGGTAATTCATTGCTAGGACGCGTGGGTAATATTCGAATTCTAAAATATTAATTAACGTTATAGTTATGTTAATTATAAACAGGGCAGTAACCTACCCCAGTAAAGTTCCACTATAACTATGTTAAAAATAACATAAAATAGAAATTTTAACCGCATCCGTAAATCATTGTATGGTTTGGTTTTGGTTGGATTGACCCTAAAGTCTTGGGTTAGATTGCTGTCTGGCCTAAAGTATAACGACATTATGCATGCGTACCTATACTAATGCCAAATAATAAACCTACCCATAGTACAGTTGCTAAGATCAATGACTCCTCGTGGCGGACAGCTAGCGGTATCAATGTTACAATAACATTGATTCGGTGAATAATGACCAGGATCATCGAAGACTGTTCTAGGCATTGAGTACCGGAGTAATTCAATTCCATCGCCAATCTGCAATTTTTAATCATGGAATTTATTCTTATATATACATATTACATATATAACTTTAGGTTTGAAAATCTTAATGGGTATGTATCCTCAGATTTCTGTAGTCAAGTAAGTGATCAGCCGACAGTTCGAGCAGCAGGGCTCCTCTGTAAAATCGATATCGATTGTGATTGAATAAATTGTGTAAATTCCAATAACTGTGAATGACATTCATTAATAAACTGAATATTTGATATAACACGATGATATCGTCGTTTTAGCCTGTTGACATAGGCCTCTACCCTAAATTTCCAGCATGACCGGTGATGATATCGCAATCAAAAAAAATGGAATTGTATATTGTAGAATAACACGTGTCGAGTATGCGGATTTAAAAGTAAAATCATTGTTACCTAATCTTTCTAATTAAAAAATATTCTTACATCGACATCCTTCACGTAGTTAAAAGGCAGTCGCCGACACAAGTTCCCGTAAAATATATAGATTGTTCTGTTCTTATCCAACATCGCAGGGGGGAATATTGTTCCGTCAGAGCCTTCAATACTGTAACAATAGGCATACTTTAACTGTTTTGCGTTGGTTCACAAACAGTACCTTAAAATTCTAATAAATGAAACAGAATCAGAAATAATTCAAGTATTATTGGGTGTACCTTTGAGCGAATTCTAAATATAAAAAATCCCCAATTAAAGGCATGTCTTACTCACTAAACCACGAAAGCTTAGTAGGTAGCTAATGCTTTATCTTGATAAATAAATCAGTGGCGCTTCAACCTTTTTAAGTCTGGGCCTCAGATGTCTGTATTGGTTTCATGATCATTTGCCAATCTAATAGGCAAGTAGGTGATCAGACTCCTGCTCCTGGCACACGCCGTCGACATTTTGGGTCTAAGGCAAGCCGGATTCCTCAGGATGTTTTCCTTCACCGTTCGAGCGAATGATAAATGCGCACATAGAAATAAAGTTTATTGGTGCATAGCCTGGGATCGAACCTACGACCTCAGGGATGAAAGTTGCACGCTGAAGCCACTAGGCTAACACTGTTACATATTCTGGTTTATCTTTATTCCTACTTAAATAGCTTGAAAATAACCCTCGGAAGTAAATCATTTTGATTTAAAGAATAATAATGTTGGATGATGTGTTTAGACGTCACCCATACAAGATACACTTTTGAACTATACTATGATAAGGGATAAATTCAATGTAAAAATTAATGTAAATATAATTCCAAGTTTTGTTTTCACTATGATTATGTTATGTGTATCATTTATTTCTAACCAAAAATCTTTATCATCTGATTTGAATCATATATCACTAGACACACCTTACCTGTTGCACTCATTGCTGCTCCAATATGGTAATTTAGTATCGCCATTGAATTTTTCCAAAATATTTATCTTGTCTTTGTCATTTTCACCAGTATTTATCGTCAGCCTGTCGGAAACGGTACCGTTTTTCTGTAAATAAATAGAATTTGAAGTACTGCTGGAAGTGTCCCAGATTCCCAGAACAGAAAATTCCCAACGTGTTCATATGTGGGAAATTAAATTAAAATTGTCTATTAACTTTGTTTATAGAGAAACAATATTCTAATCAAATGCTTTCCTCGCTTAACGAATAAATATCGCAATACAGCGAGGAAATGCTGCCATTTAAGGTACATAGACCATACACTTTTTATTTATACAGTTTTAATTATTGTTACTCTTATTACTATTAAATGTAGGTTAAGAATATTGTAAATTCCGTAGATAGAGTATAGAACTAGATGAGCTTCTAAAATAACAATAATAACTAAATAGAGAAGGCATTAACGTGAAATACTTAAGTGCGAGCGAAACAGATTATCAGTTTTTCTGTCTCTATTTGCGTATCGGGTTTTATTTGTTTACCACCGAGCCCTTGGTGGTAAAGAAGTTTTCACCACTTACTGATAAATCTGTGAAACCCAAGTCAAACCCATATTTTAAGACTTTATCCTTATAAGAGGTGTATTTAAAGTGTCAGTCATGGTAAATTGTTGCATAATTGGCTGTAAAAGCTATAGTGAACGTAAAGAACCAAACATAACCTTTCATCGGTAAGTAGCTTATTTTGTCACGACTCAGTAACTTTGTTCAAGAATTATTCATTCGAATGTGTATTTTGGTCAATAATAAGCAATCTTCAATAAATTAAAACTGTTAATACGACATATGTCAATCATTCGCTATCTCACACGCTGTACGCTGATGCCTGGTCTATACCATAGTCCGTCTACGGTAAATTCTAATCAATCTTTCAATCTGTTTATCGCATTAGAGAACTTACCGTGACAAGTAGCCCAAAGTTGTCAAAACGAAGTTTCCCATTTAAACTCAAAAACGGTTTAGCCGTGTTTATAATGTCATCATCGTAGCCCCATAGGAATCTGAAATTTAATCTAAAATTAGTTTGGGCTTTTAATCTAGAAAAACTATGTTCTATAGGCAACCCGTGATTTTTTCTGTCCCTCCATTCCGAAGAACAAGACGTCCAAATTGATATCTTAAGTTGTTCTCCATTATTTTCATAAATTTCGCCTTTGTCTAATTTCATCGCATAGTAGACGTAAGATATTATTTTATGTAAATAATTAATGTATGAGTGTAGACAAGTGGAGCTATATATGTTATATTGATTTATTTTCACAAAAAATATTCTATCTTCACAGTCAAAACTAATATAACACAAAAACACTAGACTTCTTACATTCAAAAAATTATCTTTATATATTTTAATTGTAAACCTACTAATAATAATTGCGAATTGATTTCCGTGAGTATCTCCCGGGCTTCAATGAGAGCGGGAATAACCTTATGTAATTTATTAAGGCGTATTCTTTTAATCCAATAAATTGATGTCAATAGCAAATATTATTTTTCTTACCTATGAACCGGTAACTTGAGGAATGCGTCATGATGGTTCGTGAACCGCAATGAGTTTAGTAATGGGAATGTAACCACAGTTGGCAGATCCAGCGATTTGGAAATAACACCCTGTGAAGAAAAACACACTTTAAGAAGTTTAAGAATGAATTGTTTTCTTGAGAATTAAAATTAGTTTGGTCTACCACAGTCCACAGTCCGTTTTCTTGTGCGAACTATCGAACTGTGGAATCGAATCACGGTGTGGGGTTGAGAGATACGACCTCCAACTATTCAAAGTAAGAGTGTACTCGTCCCTCAAAGGCCGGCAACGCACCCACTAAAAATGGGTGTCCATGGGCTGCGATAACTGCCTTTTTGGTGCGACCCGTAGGCTCGTTTCAAATTCAAAAATCATTTAATCATATAGGTAACACATTGTAACAAGAGGAGAACTGGTAATAAACTTTGCCTCCCCCCCACCACCGAAAAAAAATATAAAACTTACGATTAAAGGTAGATTAGGAACAAACACTTGGTCAAAATGTGGTCCAGCACTCATTTCTGGCAAATATTGAAAATTGTTCCTCTCTTGATATGTAAGTTTGTCTCCCTCGAATTTTATGTTCACCCGCTCTAACTGCTGGCTGCAAACATATTTCTTTCAACTTCCCGAGTTTTACCATAATAAAATAAATAGGGATTTTATGGAATTCGATATCCCCCAAATAACTTTCATGATAAATTCATTAATTGGAATGTCATCTTGTTTACACATGACATTAATATTTACTTATAGATACTTATTATTGCATAAACTGCGTTTAATATTCTTGTGGCTAGACTCAACATACTAAAAGATATTAATAAATCTAAGAGACAAAAAAATATGTTTAGTTGATAACTTCAACCAGTGTAATAAAGTTTCCTAAGTCAATGGATAAACTATTTCCTTCCGAGAATTCTAATAAATTTATCTTAACGCCACGGTGACCTATAACCTAGAGTAATCCATACAAGCGTATATTTTCTAGAAAATAAATTGTACATCAAAGTTTCCTGTTAAATTCTATTCAATGTTGTAATGTGATCAAACTATGGATGGAATAAATCGCGAGTTTCGTTTATAAAACAACGATCGGTTGTAAAAAAGGAACGTATCGCCTGTATCAAGCTGGCCAACCAATCACAATCAAGGAAAACATACCACCATTTCGTCTTTTGTTTGACATTCTCACAACCAAGTTGTGTTAGTTCATGTTAGTAGTAGTCTTAAGTGCTAAACAGTGGTAAGTGAAAAAATTGAACAGAGCGTCTTCCCCTTAACAGAGTCTGTAAGTAGTGTTATTGAACACTTTCTTATGTTAAATTAGCTTATTAGTCTAAAGTTGACTATTTAAATAAATCCGCCAAGTTTTGTAACATTATGATGTAACATGTGATCATTACAAACTTGCAACCTTATAACAAAGAGGATCGCCAAACCTACGCAATTGCAAATACTTATTGCATTAAGGCATAAAAATGCACGGATGTTTTCAGGTAATATTGTGTTCATAAATATGTATGGTTTTTCAATTTGATATATTATACCTCTTCTCAAATGATTTTAAATAGTACATATGTTGAAGACTTTTGTCTTCTGACTTTCAAACATAACATATATGTGACTAATAATACTTTATTGACATTAAGATGGTGTGTGGTGATCTGAACAGCATAAGCCAATCTAAGTCTGTTTAATTATAAATAAAGTCTCTGCAGAGTTGAGTAAATTACTTCCTAGATTTGTAAATTTTCCAAGAAATATGAACACAGCCAAAACGAAGTTTGAAGAATTAGGAAGATCTAATACTCCCCATGGCCTAAACAGTATAATCGGAGCTATTGACTGCACCCATATAAAAATTAATAGACCCAAAGGTATCGCTCACTCTGAAGCATACAGAAATAAAAAGGGTATTTTTCTGTAAATGTGCAAGAATAATAGGGCCTGATATGGAAATATTTGCTATAGTGACTAGGTGGCCTGGCAGTTCACACGACAGCAGGATATTTAGAAAATGCCTGTTTTAGTAGGTGACAGCGGTTATCAGACTTAACTTCATGTTAACAACACTTTTAAATCCAATGACAAGAGCTGACAATATTTATAATTATTCTCAAATAAGAACTAGGCATATTTTTTAAAGGTTTTTAGAGTGTGAAAAAGGAAATTTCCATGTTTAAGTAGGACTACAGTCTAAATTGACAAATACTAGTTATATATAATTATAGCTTGTGCTGTATTGCATAATATAGGTATACAGAGAGGGCGATGCTTATGATGATGGTGATCTTGTGACAGAGAAGTTGAGTAACACAGAAACAATGAAAGATCTCCTACAGGTCTAGCATTCCGGCAATCTGTGATTGCACAATTTAACTAGGTAATTTGTTTGGTAATAAAGAATATCAAAACAAAACTTGTTTCATTTTAATCATTTATTTTCTGATTTTTTTTAAGTGTAATACATATTTCTAATACTAATTTATATTTTTGTTGAAGAAATTCTATTTCTAACAGATTTTTTAATTTCATATGTTCCACTCCTATCTCAAATTTTTTAGGGTAGTCAGGTAATAAATGGTAGAAGATTAGGGAAACGAAAATAAAGATGTGAAGGAGAGACATGGTTAGGTTATATGTAGTTTGAATTGTTGTATATAATAAGGGGAGGTGACATACAAAATCAACCAGTTATTTTTAAGATTTCTAAAAATGGGGTTTGAACAATTACATAAATAATATAAATAAACAACAATAAATACCATAATAATGTGTAATTATTTTATTTCATGCATTTATAGGTATTTATCAAGATCATTTATAATTTCTTTCAATTCAAATTTATTTTTCCCAAAGTCTATGGAACTCCGATACAAAATGGCAACACCGTTATTAAAAACCACAAAAATAAAAATCCAGTAAAAGAATGATGGTAAAGAAATTTGATTATTTTTGTTAGTAATAAGTTTTTGGTAAGTGTATTGTGGATTGAGATTAAGTAAGATAGGGAGAATTGAGTTTGTTATAAATAACTGTGTTTAGCTGAAGTTAAGTAGAGAGTTAAGGCTATTTGAGTGCCTTTCAATCATCAAAATATTTATATTTTACGAATGTATTCAACGAAACATTCTGAAAAATAATTCTTATCTAATTGAAAACATTGACATGAATAAATCGGAGCACTTAAAGAATCAATTGTTCGATTAATTGGTATTGTCACCTTACAGATAAATGTCAATATGGGTTACTGCACTCGATGCACTGAGATATCAATAGGTTTTTCTTTGGATCTGACCCATCAGAATTGTAACCATGCACTGCCCAATTAAATTAATATTAGTGTCACTAGATAATTCGGGTGTACTATTTATAGTTATAAACTGATTTGACCGTCTGACTTGAGGGGACTTGAGGGCGACTACCGCAATGGCGTCTCCTGCGAGATTTGGACCTCGACTTGGGCCACCTTGGGGTGGGTGGTCCAAAAGTACCTGTGCAGTGCCTGAAGGGCAGGACGGAAGCCCACTAGAGTGAACGAAGTGCTAAGTAAAGGACCCCGCTTTCCTCGGTGAAGGAGGTTTTAACCCTTATCTGACTATGCTTAGCCAGGTTGTTCGATGACGTTATTAGATGATCCGGATCCGTCAGAACGTGTCGGGGCCTCCTACGGGACTTTTTGTCAGGAAGGGGTAATAATTGATGCTTTTGCCCACCAAAATAAAAAATTGATGCTTTTTTTTTTGGTTGAGATGTTGTTTAGCGTTGTCGAAGTGGCGTGTGGACACCAAATTCCTGTTTTGGGCTATGGTAAGGAACTCCAGGTCGTGGTCGGTCGCGACTCTCATGAATTGCGATTAGAGCGCCTGTAGCCGGTGTATATGGGAGGGGGCACAATGACGAATGGCGAAGCTTAAGCTGTCTACACACCGCAGCCGCCGGCCCGCCGGCACGAACCCGGCGGGCAAGGCCGGCAGCCTTAGTTTTAACGATGTTGCCGGCGGCTTGCCGCGTCTTCCCCCGGCCGCCCTCTCCGCTCTTTCCCCCGGTTGCCCCGGCTTTTAAGAAATAGTGACGCGTCAGTGTTTTTATCGACTAAACATTATGGAATCCGTTAATGAAGTGGAGAGAAAAATAAAAAATTTAACAAGTCACTAGCAAGCACTTGGCAATCACTAATTGTGAACACTGCATGCCGCGACTGTATGTCGTGCCGCCGGGAAAATTGTCAGGCTCGCAACTCTCTAAAGCCGCCGGGTTCACCCGCCGGCATTAACCCCGCCGGGTTCGTGCCGGGCGGGCCCCCCCCCCCGGCGGGGGGGGGGGGGGGGGGAAAAAAAAAAAAAAAAAAGAAGAGGGGGGGGGGGGGGGGGCGGGGCCCCCCCCCCCCCCCCGTTTTTTTTTTCAAAAAAAAGGGGGGGAAAAAAAGGGGGGGGGGGGGGGGGGTTTTTTTTTTTTTTTTTTTTTTATTTTTTTTTTTTTTTTTTTTTTTTTTGGGGGGGGGAAAAAAAAAAAACAATTTATTTTTTTAGTGGGAAAGGGGGGGGGGAAAGGGAAAAAAAAAAAAAAAAAAAAAAAAAAAAAAAATTTTTATTTTTAAATCTTCAATTTTTGCCACCCCTCCGTTTTTTTTGACGTCATTAAGCCAGGTTCGCAGATATTTCCGACGACTGTGTGTAGACAGCTTAACGCTAGCGTAGGTCTAAGTTTAGTTAAGGTTTAAGGCACATCTGACTCCTTTTATTCAGTAGTAAGTAGAGGCGTTATTGCGAACGGCGGCTATGTGTTTGCGGAAGCACATGCCGCTGTGGAGCGTGACTCCTAGTTATTATAAATATTTTTAGGAGAGAAAAGTGTATTACCGTTTAAAATGATATGTTAGCGCGCGTAACGTCCACACAGCGCCATCTACAGTTGCTTACTAAAGGTACTATATTAAATTTAATCTATTTTATTATTAAAATCATTATTGAATTATTTTTATCGTTACAAATGAAAAATGGTTAATAAGTAGCATGCACTGTAATAAAAGAAAAGTATTTACTTACGAGTAAACATACGGCCCAATATCCTGAATTTTAAGTTTACTAGCTCTACCATCTCGTACGTCCTCCCAGTTGGTGTAATTGAAGAGATGTACTTTCATTATAGGCCGCACCGTCGGTCTACGCCACATGGAGAATGCGATCGAGTTGTTTCGGATCGCCATATTCTGTGACAAATGATACATTTACATTCATTCATCAAGAATGTAGTTATTTTTATTTAGAATGTGTAGGTGACTACTCTTCATTTAAAAAAAAACTGGTTAATTTAGTTTGTCTGTTTTACACAATATTAGGCATTAAAAAGACATACATACTTTTATCAAACATAAAAAAAATGTAAATGAAATATTAATTATTTGGACTTAACGACTATTTCTATATTTCTCTACATTAGTTTTAAATTAATTTTGGTGTTGTACAATGAGTGCAGCGGCACTCTGTAACTTCCAAAACTGATTGCGATTCTCGAGTTTTATTTTGGGAGCTTTATACCACGTATATCCAAGGTTTGTAACTTCAGTGCTTTATTAAAATTGCATCAAAAACGCAGATACAAAATGCAGGGTTTTATTGTAAGCAGACTTTCTTAGAATAAGAGTTTCCGTTTTGATTAAAAGGTTTAATTTTTGATTTCATAAAGTTTGTTAAAGATAGATTTAATCTAAATCGTATGTATTTTTAGTTTTGGGGTATTTAAAATACTCAATATTTCTTATGCTCTGTCAAATAGTACTTACAGATAAAATAGCATCATTGATTGTGTTTGTAAAACAGAAGAATATGGCTCCTATAAGGCTAAGCGCAAATGTTGCCGAAAGAAGTGTTAAAACTGAAAAAAAAACAATAAAATTAAAATAGCAATAATTTCCCAAACTATATTTTGGAACCTATTATTTTGGAATCGTGATTGTTTTAAACAGTGCCAATTTAATAACTATCCAGCGCTGCCAGCACTTCTTTTTTGGGAATGGAATATTGCTTTTGGCCTTGACAGCTCGGGCGGGCCAGCACTGGAAATTTGTATTAGTTTTATAGAGTAGCCCCAAAATTGGACACATAGTATCTCCTTCAAAACTATTATAAGTAGTAGAATGATTTCTATTTGTCTTTTTAGAGTTAGTTGTTAATAAATTAAATCAATGTTGCATACACATTCTATTTTTATTAAACTTAAGAGAAGTCTTATAATTACAACAAAAAACGTGTTTATATGTTTAAAGTAGCAATAACATACATTGTATTATTATTCTCAAATTATAAATTCTCCTTTATTGATTTATCGAATCCTCGTAACGATACATTTACGTCTTCAAGGCCTTATCAGCAACAAGGTATGAGTTTAAGACAGTGCGCAGAACTTATAATCGATACGTACCTTCTCAGAACTAGGACTCTTGGTCCCGGCACTTCGTAGCTAAATAGTATAATTTTTATATGGGTTAGTAGCTTTCTTTGGTTTAGGGATACGTAAGAATGATTTTTGATTCATATATCTTGTCATGTTTCAGTTTGCCTCAAGTTGGTACGTTGGCTCCACATAGACATCAGGAGATCTATTACGAAAAACGAACGCCGAAGTTTCGGACCGAAACGAAAGAATGACGAACTTTTTCGTTTCGGAACCATAGATGCGAAGAAATTGCAAAATGAACTTAGGGATATGGTAAACGAAAGACAAAATGTCAAATCGCTAACTTCGTATTTCGTTTTATGTAATAGACCTCTTGGGCTATCTCAGGAGGCACTTATCAAATTCACTTTCAAACAATTTTAACTTCAAACTACCATCAATTTTAAAGAATTATTGTGCTCACATAATCATTGTTTACGTTCAATCGAACTGGCTAACCTTGTTAAAATCTATGTAAATAAGTTCCTCCAACTTTTTAATGGTTATGTAAACGCATACCTATATTTGGAAGTAGGTAAAAATAACAATAAATATGTATATATATTCAGGTCCCATTGAACAAAATGAATACTAACATTTTCTTTTTGTCCGTTTCACGCGAATATTCCTATATTCAATCGTATTCTAATTGGATTTTCCCTAAACAATTAAAAATATTATTTTCTAAAAATGTCTGTGCGATAATATGAATGACCCAACCAATGTTTTGATATTCTTATCGAAGCTACTATGTCTTATCTAGACTATACAATACTTATCTCGAAGCAGTTATAAACAAAAAATTAATATTATCTGGTCATTATGAGCTTTTACGATACATTAGACCATGATAAATTTTGTATTGAATAGTGTTCATGTGCGGTTTATTTCTGGTTTTTATATAATATTCGTTAATTGTTTTGTACAAGTTGTCTGATGCAGTGATGCCAACTTCTACAAAATTTTCCCCCTAAATATCGATTAAAACCCGGTTGTGTTCGAGGCCTTATATAAATTGTATAGATTCTTGCAATTTATTTAAGATAAAGTAAATAAATTTCTTGAATAAAGTAGCCCCTAAAATCACTCTAAATAAATATACCCCTCCCCCTATATAGTCTAAATAAATCACTCTAAATATATATATGGGTTTACATTTATTTAGACTTGATTTCTCCTAAATTTGGAAACAAGTCGGCATCACTGGTCTGGTGCTACGGATTGGACAACTTTAAAATTGGGGTCCGTTGATAGATGATATAAAAGCAAAATAAGAAATATCGGTTACTAGGTGACGAAACATTTAAGTAGTTGAATTTATTAACATTATTTTTAATAAAACTTAGAACATCTAAGACTTGTAGACGCAATTCGTGACGTTATCTATTTTACTACTACTACTACTTATAAGTTATAACTAAATTAAAGATTCAAGTTGGCGCCTGGTACAGGCCCCCATAGCTGGTGCTTTCCTCGCTAATCGAATAAATATAACAATACAGCGAGGAAATTCTGACATTAAACGTAGGTACACTGCCGCAGGGCCCAAACTTTTTAAAATTGTTTTAATTTTATACTTATCAATTTTAAGTATATAATACTAGTAGGTTAAGAATATTGTAAATAATGTATATTACTGTCTAAATAAATTATAGATCTTTTAAAGCCATTGTTGGATTATATTATGACTCCATGAGTTTCAAGTGCGTATATTTCAACATAAATTGATATTGCCTTACATTTATAATATTTATTTAAGAATTGAAATCACGTATTAATGATATAACAAATAAGGGAATTAAAATTTATTGTAATCAAACATACTCAACAAATAAAGCCGTACCAGTGATAAATGCTAGCAAAGATCGCGAGTGTTGACGTAATGTGAAGTTCGCTCATAGGCCCATAAGAGCAATACCGTCTTCACCATAAGGGCACACGGGGCCCGTGCCCAGGGCCCCCATTCTCAGGGGGCCCCGAAGGACCGAGAATTTCGACATAATATAACATACTGTATTTGATCATAAATGTTCATCCTTAGTAAAATCTTTTTATTATATTATAATTATTAGCTTCTTTTTTTTTCTTTTCCAAAAGGGCCCCAAATTCTTGTGTGCCCAATGGCCCCAGCCTAGTTTAAGACGGCCCTGCATAAGAGACCAGCTGAGACTCGTATACCTGTACACCTTCATTTTGATAAAAGTTTAATAAAATCTCGTGGGGTAGGTTTTGGGCGATTATCCCGATTTCTTTAGTTTTTTGTGAGGATAACTAGACTTCACTTTGAGCACAGAGTTTTAAAATTTTAATGTTCTCATAAAGTACGCGTGTGAAATATTATAATTAATGTGTCATTAGTCGAGACGCCTAAAAAAACTCAAGGGGCTGAAAAAACAATATACAAAAAGCGCTACAACCTACAGCTTTCTATTATAAATAAACACAGTTTTATTTATTATTATCGAAAATCTGAGACCTAAATGAGATGTCTGTGTGTTTCGTGATCAATTGTTTTTTTTCAATAGGCAGGTAGGTGGTAAGCCTTCTCACTCTGGCTGACTCGCGTCACTTGGAATGCCGGTTTTTCACGGTGTTTTCCTTCACCGTACAAGCGAGTGTTAAACGCACATGACACAAAGTCCATTGGTGCACAGCCAGGGATAGATCCTACGACCTCAGGGATAACAGTCGCATGCTGAAGCCACTACCAACATAATATACGTAATTAGGTCGAAGTTTAAGTAAATGTATGAGAGCCAATATTTATTTAAGAATCGCGATTTTAAGAAAACTAATTAAGGATTTGTGTTTAAAAATTGACGTCACCTAATCACGTGTTTAAGATAACCCTCAGTTTCAATGTATAAAAAACTAAAGACCCTTGCGGTTAAAAAGTAGGATTTTTCATGTATTATTTAACAACGAAGGCTTTAACAATCCCTGAGTAACAACGTGCACGAATTTTTAATATTAAGGGCTCGCAAGTGCCTTGCCGGCCTATGAAGAATTGGTACGATTTTTTGTATAATTTGAGATTCATAGGGAGAATGAATCGAAAAATATCAGATGTTTGGGTGAAGATATTTTAAAAACTACATCACTTTATATGTTTGTCGAGTTAGGCTGGGATCACGATACAGTTTTTCTTTTAAACTGTATACTTACTTGATTTAAAAAAAAAACTTTTAGGTACGCTTTTTTGTATATTTGAATAAAACTCGAAGTTAAAAAGAATAAGGGGACAAAAGATATATTCAATTGTACAGGATTCATAGCATTAATTCCTACTCTATCTAGTCAACAAAACAGACACAGCGGTTTTTCAAACTCGTGTGCAATCACTATCTAAGGTCAAAGGTCAGAAAACAGCGGGAAACGTCAACAAAGTAATAATAATTTTGATTGTTAACCAAAATTTATTTTTTTCGAAAAACTAGATTAAAACACTCTTTTAAGTAACGCGGTTTTATTATTATAATATAAAAACTTCGTTTCGCCTTAATATGATTTTTAGTAGCTACATACCAACATATTGAATATTTTGCTATGCTACCCTATGGGGTATTGTTGTCTCTATGGAGACTATTCGCTTTACCGCAATAAAAACCTAAGTACTAAATAAAACATTTTTTTTTTCCAATTTTTCTCTCCATAAAAACCTTTCTCAGAGTTCAAGGAATATGAATTAGAAGTAAACATATTTTTATTTATACATATAGATTAGAGTTATGTCATATGTTAACCATTTAGACTAATTATTTCCCCGTATTTGTCTGCTTTGGAATTTACGCTTAGTTCGCCATTTACGCCAAAAATCTTTATTACGACAATGCTAACGTGTCAACGATAACGTTTTTTAGCATTTATAGGATTTTTGCGGAAAAATTTAACCAAATTTGTTACTAAATATGTATAGAATAGATCTGGAAAAATATCCCGCAAAGGTTCCTATTCTAAAGCCAAAAATATTGGTCGTATATTATGAACAGTTTTTGTTCTGTTTTTTTTAGAATCCTCTTGTCTACTCGTAATACTCTACTATTAAACATGTCTGAAAAGGTATCCATTTGAAACTAATTATGTTCGGTCACGCGACAATTACAAAGAAATAAAATTAGTATGACATTGGATTGATAGTTCTTGAGACAAAAAAATCTTTATAAAGGTTTTGTATATATGGTCAACAACTTATTAATTTGTATTAAAAATAGAAAAAAAAATTCGACATCAAACTGTTCCTCTATTATATTAAAAAGTACATCCATATATTACGTACTTTTTCGCGCAATTTATTTATTTAAAACAACTATTTTAAGCGCCTATTATGTACTTTTTACTAAGCCAATAAGTATCAATTATCATTTAAATATTTTTAAATGAAAATTACTAGTAAAACCTAAATTGGAATGTTCACCGTAATTGTCATGTATTTTAGAATAGATAGATAAACTAAAAAAAATTATTATATATAATGTGGTGTACTTAAATATATAAATAAAGGCCGAAAGCCTTCAAAGTTACAGCAATTTTAGTGAAATTTCCTTAAAAGTTTGACCAAAAAGTTTGATAAATATATTAAATACTACTAAGGATTTAAGATCGCTAAATATTGTTTAAGTCTAGTCCTTTTATCTATGACTAATATGCCTTTATTATAATTTTAGATTATACTCATGTAAGTGTATGTATTTATTTACACACAAATATTCATATAGGAAAAGCTTTATGAACGTTAAAACATACACACATAGTAGGTAATAATACGCGTGGTTTAAAATGGATAAATAGACAACTAAAAAAAATTTAAAAAGTTTGGTTCCTGTGGCAATGGACCTTTAATGGCAGCAATTCTCCACTGTATTGCGATGCTTATTCGTTGAAAGCACCAGCTCTGGTGTCACCGGTACCAAGCGCCAACTTAAATCTTTTATTAGCGCCTGTGCACTTGAACCCCACGACCAAAAGTCTCTTATATTTTCCACCTGCTTCTCCGGCTTGAATACTAGTTATTTCTAGAAATAGATTCCTAAACCTTTGTTGACCAGTCTGAGGCCTCGACATGTTTGTAACAAAAAAAAGGGTGCGTGTACTTATATACGCTCGTAAGAAGTTATACTTCTTTGGCATTATTAAAAATAGTTTTTGATTGCATGCAAATAATTAATTACAATTAAATAATCAAAGACTGGAAAAGGAGTAATTATAGTCAATAAAGTTCAGTTTACATTTAAAAAATTAAATAAATAAATATTTATTATTATTCTCTTACATTAAGTGTAACATAAATTCTATTATTATTCGAATGTTGTTTTTAAATTATGTCCAATGCCGTAGCATCATCCGTGGACAACTTCATTCTGTTAATTTTGTGTCACGGTGCACGCGCATCACAAAATTTCACTCTCATCAATTTTTCATAACGCGCCTAAAGAAGTATAACATCAAAAATGTTTATTTATAAAGCTATGTCACCTTTAGTTACTTTCAAAGAAAATTCAATAGCTGATTAATATTTATGAAGTCCTGTAACCTTTGAAACTAAATAAAATGTTATTAAGAGCAATATGTGTAACAAATCGAGTAAAATTACTTGTAAATAATCATCAATTTATAATAATAACAAAATATATTTTATACACGTCAGTCACGTGGCACAAAATGGTCACGTATAATATCTCTTTGCATGTCTAATCTTTAAGTTAAATTTCGTCGGGGATTGTTGATTCAAAAATATGTGTATTTGTGTCATTTAAGAATGATAAATAACACGTGGATATTTGTGTTTACAAGCATTGAACGTCATATGGTGCGACGCCATTTTGCGTAAAAATTTGGTGGATTTATTATTGTTTTATGAATTTTTATAGCCTAATCTTATAACATTATTAAAAATGACAATTCATGTATGTTTTATAGTCACTAATAAATAATAATCTGAGCTATCTTTCTGTGTAGCACTAACAATATGAGCAGTGTTGGATCAGTGGCTTCAGCGTGTGACTCTTATCCCTGAGATCGTAGGTTTACACGTACACATTTCGTTTAGAAATGTGTAATTCTTCACTCTGTCTAACACTTAAAAAATCTATTATCGCCATACGAACGCAAAGTGCATTTTGAAAGACCGAAAATTTCATTCTTAACTATTCGGGGTAATATTAATTTATTAGTAATTATAACAATCAAATATACATTATTTACAATTTTCTTAATCTACATAGTAATAATAAAATAATTAAAAATTAAAATAAATCGAAAAAGTGTGGTTTGTATGGGAGTGTACCATTACTTCTGGCAGCATTACCTCGTTGTATTGCGGTATTTATTCGTTGAGCGAGGAAAGCACCAGCTCTGGGGACACCGGTACCTTATTCGGTGTTAAAATAAAATATCTGAAATGTCTTTCCAATTGCGGCCTTTGTTACTCACATAAATAATATCTCCTGTCCATCTGCTGACCCCAACACAAAACAGACCATTGCTTTTTGATACCCGTACATGTAAATTGGGCTCTTCCACAGCCCACGCACCCTTGAAGCACAGTGTCCTCACGAATTAAAATTTTTCCATTACTAGGAGATATTATCACCACTTTATTGTCATCTTTTGGTAGAATTAATGATGAAGATGTTGTTTTATCTAATACTTCGTGATCCATTTTGACGTGGAACCGCGACGGCGGTTGGGCGATGACTGGGGTCAAAATCTGTGTTATCAGCACGTTGAGGTTATCAAAGTATGGTGTACATGTATAGGGTCATAATTTATATGGTACTGTTATGCCTTTAGATCATTAGACAATTTTTTTATTAGGTTCTATGGAGGTTTATGTATTCGTTATATCAAATTGAAATTGTAAGTAGACTAACAGTCAGACAGTCCTGTACACACGTCACTCTTAATACAAAAAAAAACTGTAATTATAAATGCTGTGTTAAAAAAACACACGAAATTTCATCAAAAGCGGTTCAACCTTTTATGAGGAAACAGAAGATTCATATTGTATAATAAAGTTTCTTCTTCTTTTTCTTCTTTATATGGTACTAGGACTGTATAAAGTATACCTACTTGTACACTCACAAATGTCATCAAAACACACAGAAGATTAATATATTTATAACATCCAATAAATATTATTGGATGGAACTAGGGCATCAGATGCAAAATTAAACCATAAAATATTGTTCCATAATCACGAGACACTCTTATGCTTCTCTTTTGGCCTTTTTTAAGGCCATCTACCTACAAAGGAAGATGGATCGGTTTCGAAACCGATCCATTCATTCACATCCACACATTACTTGAAGGTTTTACGTATTTAGTAACTGTTATCAGCCCAAATAAAATAATAATAATACCAGTGGCGGTAATCTTTTTAGGTCTGGGCCTCAGACTGCTGTATCTGTTTCATAATCATTAATTGTCAATCTAATAGGAAAGTAGGTGATCAGTCTCCTGTGCCTGAAACACGCTGTCGACTCTTTGGGTCTAAGGCAAGCCCGATTCCTCACAATGTTTTCCATCACCGTTCGAGCGAATGCATAATGCGCACATACACAGAAAGTATAATGGTGTACAGCCGGGGATCGAACCTACGACCTCAGGGATGAGAGTCGTACGCTAAAGCCACTAGGCCAACACTGCTTTCAGCCTAATTATAAATCTTAAGTGGAAATGGACGGCCCACTTGCACGGTGGGCCGACGAGCTTAAAGAAGTTGGAGAAGATTGGGAGAATCAAGATGGAGAGAGATGGAGTCAGATGGAGGAGGCCTATATAAGACGTCCTTGGATAAATAAATTGTTTAGAATTTTAAGTGTCGCGATAAAGATGTATGAGTGTTTCAGGAATAAATGAGGCTTTATTATTATTATGATCTTAGGGACAATTACAGGCCATTGTCTCCTTAATTGTCATAGGCGCGACAGACAGCCCCACGTGCAGAGGCTGTTTCAGCGCCGGGGAATCAGTCACCCACGTAGTCCTGGAATGCGAGGCTGTGGCTAGATAACGTACAGAAATCCTCGGAGCGGTGGGGTCGCTCCGTGAGTCCTGCGAAGTGCCCAGGAGACTTCCAGGTCTTCCACAATGGACCTAGTGAGAGTATTAGTGCGGAAACTGAGTCCACCAGCCTTTAACCTTTTTTATGGTCTTTATGGACTGTTTATTATTAAAATCCAAAAAATTTACGATTGCTCATATTTTATTTATTTTGTGTGCAATATATAATTATAACTTTGTTAATAATACACAAAAGTTGTTTAAGTTAAAACCTCTATCTATCAATATTATATTATTACTAAAAGTAGATAATTTAAAAACCAATTTTTCTTATATAACGATCACAACGGCTATACAAAGATTTCCAATATTCCCGTACTAGTGACTTATGAACTTCTTATCTGTGAATGACATGTTTTTGTAACTTTTTTATGTTATGTAGCTAAAGACTGGTTATTTCATTGTAGTATTTGATGACGTTCGTATTATGAAGAGGTTTTGAAAGCATATAATACTAGCTAGCGCCTTAATATTATTGTTTACTTAGCCTTTTAGTAGCTAGAAACCAACATTGGTTACTATATACCAATTTGATATGCTACCCCTTTTTTATTTAATAGGAGGCCTTTAAAGAATTGGTACGTTCTTTTCTTGAAGGTCTCTATGGCGAATTGGGTTGGAAATACTTCAGTGAGCAGCTGGTTCCACATAGAGGCGGAAAAAACTGCCTTAAGAAACGCTCAGTTTGAGTAAACACGGACGGACCCTATAGTGACTTTCCGGGAAAAAGAACTAAATAAAACTATGTTTATATTTTTCTCCCCAGTTAAATCCTTCCCCAGCGTTCAACGAATAAATATAAAAACGTAACGTATTTTGCGATTAATTTTTATTTACCGTATATATCGTATACAAAACAATTGTCGATCGATTTAAAATTCATAACAATTAATAAACTACTTGTACTGTTTATTTTAAAAGAAACTTGAAAAAAAAGCAATTAAAACCATTTTTGCCATTTCTTTTTGTTCTACATTTGATTTGAGAACTGTAGGTAAATTTAAAAGCATTACTTACTGACCGTTGTAAGTATACATTTATACAAAAATGAACAAATTATATTTTGTTTTATATTAAGCACAATACGAATAAATCTAGTTTTGTATGGGACTAGGGCAACGAGCAGACGTAACAGAACTAAGCAGAATGCAATGCCTGGGACTATCTGGTGTGTTGCGGAATGCGGAAATTTCAGGGAATGGTACGCAATTCGTAATACAATAGTTAATTTTTGTACAGCATGCATTTGGAACTAATAACAAAAGAATGTTTGTAAATAATACAACGAGATTGAGACAGTATAGGTAATCTACTATAATTGAACCTGAATCTGAACCTACAATAATTACTACGTACCTATACACACCTTTGAATTAAACTATCAAAAGCGGCGCATTGCCCTCCTTTAACTTTTTGTACTATCTAATAATATATGTTATGGACTAAAGTGATTAATTGGATTAAATTAAAAATGCCCATACAAATACGTTGACATAGTTTTTATTGATTTTTTTTCACATATAAATAACAATAATGAATATTTGTTAAATCTTTTTGCCATAGAGAAAATTGGCAAAATGATAAGATTCATATTTTGGCTATTTCTAATTAGTTATTTTTTGTCATGGTATAAATTGATCTAGGCAAATAAACCGCGAATAGTTCTGCTGTATTTGTATGCGTAATGTCCACAAAAATCCACATACATAAAAAAAATTAAAGTTAATTTGAGCTATATATTAAAAGTGGAAAATGTAGTTTTTCTTTAAGTATTGCGAATGTAGATTCCTTTTTATTGACTGAGTATTACTTAAAATCGAATAGTCAATGTAATAATAAATAATACGGAATACTTACAGCGCCCTGTAACCGTATTCGGAACTACACAAAAGCAGCAACATTATACGCTTTTAAAAAAATAAGTTTTTCCTTACAACGAAATTGTTATATAAGCACAAACTTTTAGACAAATATATTATTTAAGACCAAGGTGTGACTTTGACTTTGACTGTGACTTTAGTATATTAAAAGATTTCCAGGTAGGTGTGTAAAAGTCAATATTTTCCATATTCTTCTATGTCCTTGACAAATGAGCTAAAACCGGTGACTCCGTCATAATAGTAATTCGTAACTTCAAATGAGAATTGGAAAATTATTTAATATTAAAATATACGCAAAACAGCACTGATCGCTTTCGAACAGCGCCATATTACGAATAATGTAATTCAGAGTACTTCATTAAGCAAAATAAATTAAAATATAATCAGTAGATTAATTTCGTAATTTGTTTCACAATTCTTAAGATAAATTAATCTTTACTAATAATAATTTAACGAACAAGGTTACAATACTATATAATTTTTTATGCGTAACACAAATGTTAATTCAAAATCCAGTATAATCCAGGTTTGAAGACAGGAAATACACAGTCGCACCACATTACTAACATTTAGGTCAATGACCGTTGACATTGTTTCACATCCATTGTCTTCGACATATAACGACGGGGACAAAGTAATCTATTTAATTGATAAAAAGATCATAAGTCCAGGAATGCTTTTTGTCAGTCTGTATTTAGTTGCTCTCACACATTAAACATGTTAAAATGAGGACAATCAGATACTTATCAAAATATGTTATAGAAAGGATACCTATATACGTGTGTAAATGACATAAGAACTTTAAAAGGCGCAGCGCATCTTATCACAAATCTGTAAGTGATCAGCCTTCCTGTTTACTATGACGTTAAAGACAATACCATATTTAGCGGACTCGAGGCAACAAAGGAGTGGAGCCCAAATGAAAATGGAATAAAGTGCAGTCGAGCTTTCCAATAATTAATTTACTGTGAAACCCCGGAGCCTCGGAGCCGAGCCAGCCAGCGGGCTGATACATAAGTTACACTGCATGCCATAAGGTCTCGGGTTTATGGCGAAACTGTGCCTGCAGTCTGAACTTCCAATGGCTATACTGATCCCGAAGTTTTTGTAAAAAAGTAGTTCTCTTGATATCCGCTAACAATGCGCATTACAAAAATTCATTTTTGAGATCCGAATCGCTGTCGGCTAGTGGAAGTTGCAGAGTAAACTGTGGTCTCAAAATCATTATTATTTAGAAATATATTAAACAAAATGGAATGTATTTGAATGTGTGTGTTTGAAGTCTGTTTTGTCTTTTAAGTGACTCGTATATTTGTTTGCGAATATGATGAATTCTGTATATTTAATTTTATATTATAATATATAATTAATATGTAAGTTTGTCAGGTACGCCTTCACATCTTAAACGTTAGATCGATTCTACATTTGGCATAGATAATAAAGAACAAAAGTAACCAACATCATAATTTATTTAACATCGAGTATTACACGTGCGTAAAACTAATATCACATATATTTGGACGTTCACATACATTTAATACAAAGTACAAACATCTTATATTACATCACTCTCTAATCTAGAACCACTATATTAAAAATACTATGATATTTGTTTTTCATTCTGTTAATACATCCTTTAAAATATTTGTATAAAACGTAGTTTTGTCAATAGCTACTAGAGGCGCTGTAATACATTTCATGTGTGACGCAATTGTTTTGACGGTTTATCTTTAATACTTGAAGAACAAGAACATTTGACAGCTCAAAATAATTTGAAGGATTTCTTATTACGTCACTTGGAATTATTAAAAGCGTCCATTAATAATTATGAAGGAGATTTATAATAAAAAAATTAATCGGCTTAAAATTTTTTTAACATAAATACTATAATAATTTTTTTTACATCAACGTTAAAGTCAAAATTTAAAAACATCGTTCACCTCTTTAAATAAATATCTTAAACACCAGGTTTTACATATTATTGTAATAAAGACCAGGGGCTTGAGACGCAATCCCTTAGCGTCAAGCGTGAACCTAACACCAAACGAATTTGTATGGAAAAGGTCACGTGACAAAGAGGGAGCTATTGTTTTTTTATACAAATTCCTTTGGTAGTAGTGAAACACACCTGTCGTAAAGTTATTTTGTTAAACGCTCTTAGTCAAAAACACTTTGCGACAAGCGTTACTGTCGCCTATCAAATTTGTAATATGATCTAGGTCCAACATCAACGACTGCCTACGACACATATGAAAACAGTGTAAAATTGGTTTTCTTCTGGCCTTGTCCTCTCTTTGAAACACCTGTTTATCGAGATTCTTTTTGTGCTAAAATAAATGCTTTACAAAGTCTAATATTACTTATCTTTTATCGCATAATATTTTTAATAACAATCTTTGTACCTACAGTAAATATACATAGAACTGGTCCAACCATTATAACCCAAAAATAAAAACAATTATTTTCTAAATATGCTACATAATTATTACGTATTGGACCCGATTTAATGCTTAATTTACATATTCACGATCATTTTAATAAATTAACTTACAATAATTTACGAAAGACTATAGACTATACACTGACAACATATATTACAAATATATCAAATGTTTTGAAGGACGTTATGAAATTACGTGTGTACCTATCTCAAAATACTAATTAATATTAAACATCAGTTGTCAACTGTCATTCTATCAAAAGTCAACATCAGTCTGTTATCTGTGGTGAAGACGGGCGTTGTGAGACCGCAACGTGCGCGTCAAGGCCGTCTGAAGCGCGGGAAGTGCGTCTCATCCAAGGACCTTGGCGTTCTTAAAGAAATAAAGTTTTTTTGAGTACAGTAGCGGCTTAATATATTACACAAGAGCATATATCAATCTCTGCTTCATGAACGTTTGTTTTAGAAATTAAAATCAGACTTCTACAAATGTATCCGAAAAAACTATTGTTATTGAGGGTTTCTTTATTTATTGTTGAAACTGTGACTACTCTTTCTTTCTACCTATTAAACGTAAACTTACCCGAATTTTCTCCTTTCGGATTGATAAGCTGCCTATATTCAGTACTAAGCCTTCGTCTCCCGTGTTCGTATTTAGCCTCCTTGGCCAACAAAGCTTCCCTTTGTATCTGCGTCTTCAGTTCTGTGGGTATATCTGGTATAAACAGCTGCATCAAACCGGTTAGGCCAAATACGACGTGCTGAAAGTTAAATTATGTTTACCTTTGGAACACGAGCTATCGACTTTTGAAATATATTCTACATAACTTACCTCAAAAACAACAACAAATGCAAGTCTAGCGGCGAATACATGCCAATAGTGGGGGGATAGACCATAGGGGTCCTTATGATTGGGGGGGTTACGATATCCCCTATATGCACACGTTGGCGGATCAATTTCGTTCTCGTCTGCACCCCAATCTTCGCGATAGTCTGATGTGTTGAATACTGAAAAATTGTGTAAAAAGTCAAACTAAATTAAACACGGAGTCTAGATGAAGTTAGACAAAGTGATTGAGTACTTGTGTCAAATATTTTTATTAATATGTATAGCAAAGTGATAATTTTAATATTAAACATTCGTGGGAAAGACTATTATTAAAAATCAATCTAAAGGCACAGGATAGTGTAAGTGATAATTTGTTGTAGCGAACTGATTACATAAGAATTATAAATAAAAAAATACCGGAAGTTTACAAACAAAATACATTGGACGACCTAACCTAGTGAATTATAATCTAATTATAGATGTGACTGTCTATGGCTGTGTATGTTTGTGTGTATGTTTTATTTTATCCATTTCATATCTAATTTGTTTACGACAAATTTAATAGTCTACGATATCGATAGTTAACAGTTCTCGGTAGGTGTATCTCTATACATATATAATATCTCATACATTGTTGTATTTTACAGACTTTTAATAGCGTAAGCGATACTTAGCCCACTTAGCCGAGTATTTGTAGAGCTCATGACACAGAGCACTTGACATGTGAATGATATTAGTTCACGGTTTATCACGTGACCATTTTAATACAAATTCGTACAAATACGTTTGGCGTTAGTGGGTCACGCCTGCCGAAAAATGATTTTGTGTCGAGCCCCTGATGTCGGAATCGTGCGGAACATAAGCTTATTATTATATTATGTAATCCATATGATTGCTGTGGGTTTATCTATTGGAAGTGACAGAGTAAGAGCCCTGGTGAAAATTATAATTATTTTAAATACTTACATGACAATGAATGGTCGATATAGCCAGACAGGGTATTATCTGGCGAGTATACATACTTATATACCATCCTAGGTATAAAGTCACTTGTGTAGGCTATTACAAATGCCTGAAAATTTAAATTTATTAATCATTTAAAAACGGTGCAGGTTTTTGAGTTTATATATTGCGAGTGGCCTTTTAATACATTATTATGGATATACAATTACACATACTTCCTTATTCAAAAATTTCTTTAATGATATTTCATTCATGTAAATTTCTGATTTCGTTCAATCCTTGCGCTGTGCGTCAAGTTTATGCTTTTAAGCAAGTTTTGCAATAGTAATTTTTTTTAGACTATGTTACTAAATAAATCAATCAGTCAATAAAGTGAGTATTTTTTTAACTTACATTGGAAACAACTGCTGCGTATGTGATACCTTTTAAAATTCCGTACCTGAAAAAAATAGTTTTTTTTTTAATTCTGCTAAATTTTTGCCTATTTATGGTAATAAACAGTTAAAGTCATATAAAGTGTATTTTAACTTAACTTAACGTCGACTATGTCTTTAATTAACTTTTTATACCTAGCACTATATTTATAGGTTATAGTATTCATTAAGTTTTATTTTTATTAGGAGTTATAGTTGTCAAAACTACACATAATCCTAAGGCTAAGCCTTTTGAGTCTACAAAAAAATAGAATAAAGCCAGTTGACATGCAGCTTCAAATAAAGTGTTTCATTTGACATATATTTAAACATCCCTCAAAAAACCGCCAACTTAACTAGCGACCAATTTTTTTGTTTAAAATCCAGTTTTACGATAAAAAATAATTATATTTATAAAAATTCAGTGGCGGTAGAACTCTTAATTTTACCTACTTTTATTGATTTTTGATATTTCTTATCTTATCAGGCATAGGAGCGGCCTCCTAAATACTTGCAATAATAAATATTCTCCAAGCTGACTAGGCCAAGACCAATTATTAATCTATTTATTTATTATATAGGTTTCTGTAGATGATCATGATATTATCCAATACACCAATGAGACATTACCAATACTATAGATTAAAAAATGAAGAGCAAGAGGTAGAGAAAATAGATAGATCTATATGTCAAAGTCACTATAAAAGTATTTACCAAGCACCAATATCTTCCACCCTCTCCGCTAAAGGGCGCCTCGCCTGTGTGACCATCTTATACGCGTCCAAACGAATTTCAGCTATATTATTCAGTAACGCGAATAAAGGTGCCAGGGGAAATGCAGCTACGAACAATGTTACGAATCCATATTGAAGTACTGAAAAATTATAGCATAGATTACAAACAGACATAGATATCGTAGTCTGTATATCAAAACAGTCTGTGCAGAAAGAACCGTCTTGGGATTTGAGGTCGCGCAGCAAAATAAAGTACCATATAATTTATATAAATTAATTAATTATATGACGGCCGGCAACGCACTCGCGCCCTCTGGCAATGTGAATGTATATATATGGGCGGCAATATCACTTACAATCAAGTGAGCCCCCTAACCCGTTTGAGGCCTGTTCTATAAAAAAATACGTGTTGCAAAAAAGAGTTATATTAGTTTGCATATAGACCCGCCGGTTCTCTGTACGCACAGATTCTAATCTACTTTTCTGATCTTACATAATGATTGGGAATAATGATACAATTATGTGCTACAAAAACCCAAGTAGACTTTTCTAATATATAAAAAATATATTCCCCGTGATTCAATATGAGAACCATATCAAGTCTTTCATGTAGTGATCCTCTTTTAGGTCAACCTCCTTGAACCTATATAAATAAAAAGAATCACAAAATATTATATGTAATATAAGTTGCATAGCGCAAAACTCGAAAACGGCTGAACCAATTCGAGTATTTTTTATTTATTTCTTGAACTCTGAGGAAGGTTTTTATGGAGAGAAAATTAAAAAAAAACAAAAACAGCGAAATGTTCCAAAGGTGAGCTAAGTAAAAAAATCATATTTAGGCGAAACGGATTTCCCGGGGGTAGCTAATTTTTAATAAACTTGTCAAAGAGCATCCAATGTTCCTAAAGTCTTGATTTACATGGATCGTAGTAAAATTTTCCAAGTAGTTTGTATTTTATTACCTACTCCAAAATTACCCATTTTAAAAAAAACGTTCCGAGACGACGCAAACAAATGAATTCTATTTTTAAAAACGGAGGAGATTTGCTTTTTATTAATGCCTACCAGTATTATTTTTCCTTTCCAAGGAGAATGTTATTGGGTTATCACTATTTATTGACCACCCCTCGTATTCCTTATACAATATTTTTCGTACTCGTTATAGTTTTAAATTTATGCCAGTTAGTTTGTCTGTTAACTAACTGGCATAAAGTTAAAACTATATTGCCATAAAAACAAACTTAAGCTTCAATGTTATTTATTATGTTATTATTATTATTATTAATTATACGTCAATACTTACTCATTTCTAAGTACTCGTCAAAGAGCGCAAGTCTACCAGGGTCCTGTAAGTGGTAGTCCTGCTCCCAGGCCATGTGGGGCTTACTGGGGTCCCGGGTCACCGCTCTGTGAGACCTCTGCCGCCACCAGTTGTGGAGTTTGCTATGGAGATTTTTTTTTCCATAATTATTCACAAAAAATAGTCTCACACTTCTTTTAATAATTCTATTATAGATTATTATAGAGTCGAGATAAGTGTAAAAGAGTTACGATTAGTAGCTATTACAAGTCGTAATTTGGATGTGGTGTTCAAGATAAACAGATTTTTTTTGTCAAGAAAGAGGAAAAGAACCTAGAGAAGGTTATGAAATTTAAAGGAGTTAAATTTTTGTTATGCTTAATCTTAACAAAAAAAAGTTGTGCTAGTCAAAATTTAGTAACGAACATTTATACAAAGGACATAATATATGCACTTGAAGAATATAAGCACTTATATAGTAGTACATAACACACTTAGCATACTTACGGATAACCCAACTCCACGAAATTATTAAAACATTGCTTTCCAATCATGATTATTGCTAATTGTATACATAATTCAGAGAGACAGCCAGCAGGGTCACAAATGTCACCTTTTAATTTGAAAAACTCAGATTTTCTGGCTTGATCATCGCCAGGGTAGTCGTAGAAACGGCCCTAAAGCATTTCAGGATAGATTAGTCATCAAAAAAAAAATATGTATGTATATTTATAATTATTATGTCTATGAAGAATTATAACTCAATACTAGGAGTGTTCCAGGTAACAGTTTTAAATGTCGTCGCACTTATTTGATGATACTAATTCCAATGAAGGTCCTCCGAGACTCCTAAATAGTTAGTATTATCAAAAAAGTGCGACGGTATTTAAAACCCAACCCGTGTTCCATAAAAAGTGGTAATGAGTATGACGCAATTATTATTAAATGTTTTATAAACAATGTATATCTTTTTTCTAAAGGTAAAATTCCCATTTTGATTAAATCTTCCTGATCCAATCAAAAACCTAGTACCGCGGCGACTACTGTGTCATTATCTTTAATTTTAGTCCCCGAGATGTTCCTTTAACGCGATGATAACTGGGAGCTAAGTCTGGTAAATGTTAAGGATGTTTTGTCAATACGCAGCCAGCTTCTTGAATCAAAACTCTGTGAGTGAGTTACAGAATCGCAAGGCTGGACTCTGCGCCAGGGTGTTATGTTGGTGAAACAAAACAACTTTAGCGAATACTCCATGCCGATTTTGCGTATTTACTCCCGCAACATTGTTATTTGTCCTTTCTAGAAGGTCCCCATAATAGTGGCTCCATGATTAAGGTATTCGATCATTACAAAAACTTTTTCACTCAGAAAAAATAGCCCATGATCTAACGGCTGATGGATTCGCTTTAACTTTCATCAAAGTTGTTGTAACAAACCCAAACAGTGAAATTCTTTGTCTCGTATGTTTCTGCGCGTCAAATCAACTATTCTGGACACCGCAGATCTTTTTTTCATTTCAGTTGTGTATAATATTATGAACACTACCTATAGAAATCTTCATTTCTACTGCTATAAAATAAACATACACGACGATCCGCAAAGCCAATATTTTAAATTTTTCTAAATCATTCGTTCAGTTTACCGTCCACAATCTGCCGATGTAAGGCGTGCCGTGTAAGAGTCGTCGGTAAAGGAGAGTTTTCCTCGCTTGAGCACAGCACACCTGAGCGCCACCGTAGAATATAAAAGAGCATGAACCCCCAATGTTCCTAAAGTCTTGATTTACATGGGCAATTAATTTTTCAAGCAGTTTGTATTTTATTACTGTACGAACTCCAAAATTACACGTTAAACACGTTCCGAGACTGCGCAAACAAATGAATTCTATTTTTAAAACGGAAGAGATTTGCTTTTTATTAATGCCTGCCAGTATTTTTTTTCCTTTCCAAGGAGAATGTATTGGGTTATAACTATTTATTGACCACCCCTCGTATTCCTTATACGATATTTTTCGTATTCATTATAGTTTTAAATTTATGCCAGTTAGTTTGTATTCCTTAACATACAAACTAACTGGCATAATGTTAAAACTATTGCCATAAAAAAAACAGACTAAGGTTGTCTGTTTTTAAAAAAAACAGACAACCTTAAGCTTCAATGTTATTTAGCATTTTTTAAAGACATTGGGGCCTAAATATAGTTGATATATAGCTAACAAAAATATTTCTTACCTTAAAAAATGCGATATATATGAGGGATGAATAAAAATTTATGAATTCAAAAAAGAAGATTTTAAACGTATATGAATCCTCATACTCCGTGTGTGTCCGCGGATTTTCAATATTAGTTAAATATACTGCTATTTTCGCGTAAATCTAGAAAAAAATGTAATATACTTAATTAAGCGATCGTACTATCTGTACCTTCGAAAACTTCTTCTCAGTTCTTTCCTCGAAAATTTATCTTTATATTAAACAAAAACTAAAAAAAAAACATTTTTAAATAATATACAGTTTTCTAGGTATCTTTAAATAATATAATATTACGCCAATTATTTTAATAAGGTCTTCTCCTTAACGATATAAACGCATTTTAATAAAAACTGTAATTTGTATGAAACAATTTGAGTAATAGTCAATAAATTTTAATAAGCTTTGTGTTTCGAATTTTTACTTACCCTTGTCAAAATCATAATAATTGACAAGTTGATCAACGCTGCCGTCATGGCGGTGAAGATTTTCGCGTGTTTTTTGAGAAAGAACCCGCTACCACCATAGATAACAGACACCATCGAAATCCTGTAGATTATTGTTCCTAATACTGCGCCCATTACAACCGTTATCTGTGAACATAGGAGATACGATGTAAGTACGGCTGGAAAACTTGGTAGTCTAAGGACGTATAGTACCTACTGAGTTTCATCATCGTACGTCGAGGCAAAGTTCGAAATTCCACGAATTAATATTATTGAATTTACATTGGTTTTTGTATATTCGAGGACGAAATATATTTATTTATTCACCAAAATATCCTTACAGAACCAATACAGAATATGGCTTCTGTGCGAACATAATATATAAAGATGTCGATAGTGTCGGAGACAGCATTCAGTAAGCGCAAAGTCTTTCTTTCTTTCTGATAAGGAGGGAGGGCTTGTAGTTTATTGTTTATCAGAATGCCAAATCATAAAATGACTGCTTCACGACTGATTTGAGCGCGAGCGCCGCTGCGAAAACCGCTGTGTGAGTTACAGAATCGCAAGGCTGTTCTGATATATATGTACATATATATATATTGACCGAGAAGGTTGTAGCGCCTCTGTTTTTTAAATATATATAAATCTTATTAGCTATATATTTAAAATTAATGAGTATATACACAAAATCTCACCATAAACAGCACAGCAGAGCTGGTTGCGACGTATCGCATCGTCTTTTGCCAGGGTGCTAGAAAGGGCTCTTTCTCACGCGTGACCGGGTTTGTGCGGAACGTTTTTACCGAGGTTTCGAACTCTGGTCGGATGTCTTCATCCTAACAAGAATTAATTAAATATAATTAAAAAGATGACTGATGTTTACATACATGTCTGTGTCTCATATATCTTAATATTTAAAACAAAGCCGCGTTTGTAGAAACACTTATGACTTGAGAACGGCTGGTCCATTTTCATGGTTATTTATTTATTATTAAAATCAGAATAACTATTAAAAACATTGGAAAATTGACGAAAAAAAAATTTCATTTGTTCATGGGTTAGGTAGGTGTAAAATATTTATGTTCATCCCGTAGATACGGTAAACTCTCCTCTCAAATGAAATAATGTATTTAATAAAGCTTTCATATATCTACAATATTCGTATAATTGCGTATTTTAGATTTTATAAATGCATGCATCTCAGTTATCTAACAGGATTGACAGATATATTGATTGTTAAATATTTATGCCTGCGTCCAAAAATGTATGTTGTTAAAATTTAGGAAAATATATTTAGCTACTTAAATATACAACAAATCAACTCGTTTCTACTGTGGTGCATTCTGCTTAATAAAGTATTGAAGTTAATATTAAGTTGGGCTAACATGTATACGATATTGATTAACTGTTAGGCGGTTCGCCGGGTAGTATAAATAAATACCAAATTTAAATAATAAATAAAACATATGGACTCCTTACTTGATCGACACCTCCCAAGTCCCACTCCCACCGAAGAACAGACTGTTTCCTTTTCCATAACTCCAAGAATGTTGTTGCTGAAAATGTATATTTAAAAAGTGGATTTCCAAAAATTCTCTAAAGCCAACCATTATTATGTCGCGACCCACGAAAAAGCCAAAAACTTCAGTAAAACAGTCACTGTAAAATTATAATAATATGTACAAAGCGCGCAATTTTTAACGAATCTTTTGTAACTTTATGCAGTTTGTATTTATTATTTTTCAACAGACTGCGACCCCCTTTAAAAACAAACTCGACCCCCCCAAGGGTCGCGGGGGGCTTGAGAAACGATGCTTTAAAGTATTAAGGTACAAGCCGTCGGAAATATCTGCGAACCTCGCTGGAATGCGCTTCCCCTGGCGCTTCCCCGCACCCCGCCCCGTTTTCGCCTATCCAGTACCATTGCCAACGCAATCGCCGACGCACGTGTATTATTCTTGCTTTCGTAATCGCATTTTAGTGTTTATTGTTTCTCTGTTTGGTGAAATATTACATAAACTACCTATTTAGTGCTGTATGTAAGATGGGTAGGACTATACATAGTGCAGAGCGGAATTTAGTGCTCAAAGTAATCCAATTCTTTGAAAATGAAAAAAAACACGGCTCTTTCACTGTGCCGGTTGAACAAGCAACAAAAAGGGCTTGTGCTGCAACTGGTTTATCTAAAACGACAATAATGACAATAAAACGTGAAGCAAAAAAAATACAAACAGAAACAGCGCGAGCAGCGAATGTTCAGGAAGACATGACGTCCTTCGAAGATGGTGAGCATCCACAACCTAGTACTTCAGCTTCAGTTGCCACGGACACTATCAAGCTCTCGACACCAGGGAAAAAGCGTAAAAAAATACAAAAAGAAAATAGATCTAGATAATTTTGATTTATGCGCGATACGCTCTTTGGTTGAAAGTTTTTATACCACAAGAAAAGAAATACCTACTTTAAAAAAGATTCTTACAATAGCAAAACGGGAGCTCAACTTTCCCGGCCAAAAAGACGCCCTAAGAAACATACTAATAAATGATTTGGGGTACAGCTTTAAAAAATGTAAACGAAAACGCGATTTTTTGGTGCAAAGACCTGAAATAGCAGCCTGGAGAGCAAAATATTTAAGGCGACTGAAAGAAAATGACGAACGTGGTGCCGAAAAAAACCAGTTACATTTATCGACGAAACCTGGATACATTCACACTATACTGTCTCAAAATGTTGGCAAAATAGTAGTGATTCCAGTGTCCGAATAAATCACTCTCCTGGTCAGCGCTGGATTGTGGTACACGCAGGTAATGAGAACGGTTTCATACAAGGAGCCGAGCTCCTATATAAGTGTAAATCAACAACCGGTGATTACCATGACGAAATGGATGCGTCCAATTTTACCAAATGGATTAAAGAGAAATTGATACCGAACCTTCCACCCAACGGAATAATTGTCATGGACAACGCGCCCTATCACAGTAAGCAGGCAAATAAGCCGCCAAATTTCAGTGCACGTAAAAACGAAATGCAAACATGGCTGCAAGAACACAACATCGAATTTGATGACAAAATGACTAAAAGAGAACTGTATATGTTGATTCAAAGAAATAAACCTGAGAAGGTATATTTCATCGATGAAATATTTAGAGCTCATGGACATGAGGTATTACGTCTGCCACCCTACCACTGTGATCTCAACCCTATTGAGTATGTTTGGAATTTGATGAAACAAAGGGTGGCAGACAAAAATATTGACCAATCAGAAAAAGATATAGAAAGGTTAACAAAGGCAGCGATCCAAAGTATAACCCCGGAAGATTGGAAAAAAGAATGCAACCATGTTGATCGCTTAAGAGATAAGTTTTGGCATAATGACAGATTATATGAACATGAAGAACGCGAATTAATAATTTCATTAGGAGGAGAAGACAGTGACAGCGAAACCGAAGACAACATTTTGAGTGATAATATAGAAGATGACGAAAACGACAGCGCTACCATGTCTGGTGTCGAGGCTTTTCTAGAATAGTTTCGCCACTTTCTCTTCCTCTCTACTTTTTCTTTGTATTATTTGTAAATTTGTAAATAATTTGAATTTTAAATAATGTAAATAATAAGTATTTGTAAATTTCAAGTAGGTACGAGTATCAATAAAAATAAGTACACAAATAAAATATTTTTTATTTTTACATCTTCAATTTTTTTGCTATCTCTCCAGTTTGTATGACGTCATTAAGCCAGGTTCGCAGATATTTCCGACGACTTGTACCAAAACATAACAAATCCGTATAGGCAGATAGTGTTCTATTATGATCCTGCCAAGTATCCAGTAAGTAGTAAGTAAGTTTTGAAGCAATGGGATTTTATTAAGAGAAAGAAAATTACTCACCCCAAAAAGACATAAATATAGCAAAGAACACAGTCGCGGGGTTGTCGAAAAGGTAGCTTAGTTGAGCGAAGAGACAGGAGTCGGATAAACTCTGGTACTGACACGCTTTGTCACAGAGCGGACATAGTGTAATGTTACCGGGGCCTGACATATCGCAGATTTCTTTACTGAAAATTTTTATATAACTAAACTGAACTGACGATAATGTCAAGTATACGTGGTTTACACCTTATTGCATATAACAATTTACAAGAATCATAAAGAAAAAAGTGCTAGTGTACGGGCCTAAAACGATTTAAGCGATCTATTCCCAAATGAAAATAGTTTACATTTTTGACAGTTCTGAGTAATTTCTTATACAATTTCTTTTAAATATAAAACACGTATCTTCCTTTTTGAGTTTTTCATACAAAAATCTATCGACACTATTACTACTGCTATTGAATTTGTACGCATTGTTTCTGGTGGAGTCTCTGTGCATTCTCATATCTCTCTCTCATATTAATAACAAACAGTAAAGAACAGAAACGGCTGCTTTTTGAGTTAAAAAAAACACAAAAATATATCCTGGTTCATCAACTAATACTTATTTAACCTGAAATTATGAACAAATAATAAGAGAAATACGAATCAGAATTCATATTAATAAACTTTCGGCAAGAACCATCCACGAGGACTATCTAATTTTGCCAGGATTACTAAACTTTGGTTCTAAGAGCCTTAGAGATCAGCCGTGCGATTCTGTAACTCACTTTTCGAACTCACACAGTGGTTTTCGCATCGGCGGTCGCTCTCAAATCAGTCGTGAAGGAGTCATATTATGATTTGGCATTCTGATAAGGTGGGAGCTTGTAGTTTATTGTTTATCAGAATGCCAAATCATAAAATAACTGCTTCACGACTGATTTGAGAGCGACCGCCGATGTGAAAACCGCTGTGTGAGTTCGAAAAGTGAGTTACAGAATCGCAAGGCAGTTTTACTTAGGAGTAATACAAGCAACCACTTACCTAGGTATGTTATCACCCGAATCTATACTAGCCAGCCCATACAGAAAACAAAGGGTCCCAACAATCGCAGGCGCATATAACATCTTGGTATAAAATCCGAGCCAGGAGAAGTATAACGCTATTTTCTCCCCGAAGTACCTCCTTACTAACCACAATGGCTGCTTTTTATACCATTTGGCAGGACGAGCCCACTCCAAATAAAGAAGCTGCAATTATTATTATTTTCTATATAACAATCCAATTTTATAATTTTGTATTTAATTATTTTCATATACATATTTTAGCTACTAGCCACTTAACAGTTTCACTAACTTTATCTTTATCATTGTAAACAGGCTCATCTGATTTTAAGTATGAATGGACCCCCACCCATGGACACTCTATTTAAGGAGTGTAACGCTCTTTTCTTGAGGGAATTTTCGAACCTATTCAGAAATACAAACCTATTCAGAAATACAAACCTATTCAGAAACACAAACCTATTCAGAAATACGAACCTATTCAGAAATACAAACCTATTCAGAAATACAAACCTATTCAGAAATACAAACCTATTCAGAAATACAAACCTATTCAGAAATACAAACCTATTCAGAAATACAAACCTATTCAGAAATACGAACCTATTTAGAAATACGTCAGTGGACTGCTGTTTCCACTATTACACTTATATAAAAATCGTTAAAATTCTGCCGTTTAGCAGTAACGCAGTAGAGTAACTAAAAACTTTAACTTGTCAATATTTCTTACAATAAAATATCTAAATTAAGACAAGAAAAATATTTTTTTGGATTGGAAAATACTCGTAGTAGCGAAGATGAGACACAAATGGAAGAATTTAAAGCAGACCTTCACTCCGCCGGGTCGTGTACTAATTAACATCTTTATACTCGTATATATAATTCTACTGTATTTACTGTCTGTATTTCACTGAACTCTTAAACGGCTGGACTGATTTGAATGAATTTTTTATATGCGTTTTGGTGGCGCGCTGGATGGTTTAGATTCATAAATCAGTCCGGCAGATGGTGCTGCAGTCAGTACTTGCATACTTTGTTTAATATCCGAATCGCTGGAAATATCATGCAGGACAACGTCTGTTGGGTCCACTAGGTTAATATATAAAAATAACCCTTATTATATTACAAGAATACAGGCTATTTTAATTTATTTAGTTTTAAATATACCCACCCGTCTATCTGTCTGTGTTTTATCCGGGTTATCCGTATTGTATCTGCCTTCGTGTAGAGGGAAACATGCGAGATACGTCCCATCGTTTAAAAGCCGTCGTATGCCCATCTAAAACGCATTCATCATTGCAGTGAAACAAATCTTTTTAAAACATTTATTTATAGAATTTGAAAGGCTGGAAGTCTTCAAGACAAGAAATTGTCTTTTAGGAACGGTGGAACTGCGTTTACTAGCGAACTGTGAAATTGACTCCCGGTGGGGGTTTTCTCTAGGAGATACGACCTCCATCTATTTAAAAAAGAGCATCCTCCCTCAAAGGCCTCACGCACTCACTAAAATGCGGGCTGGGTCCATGGGCTGTGACGACTGCCCTTTTTGGGAGTCCAGTATGCTCGATTGCCCCCCCTATGCTATAAAGAAAATCCACGATGTAATGATGCCAGCACAGATTTTTCTAAATATGAACTGTGTAACCCGTGATTAAAAATAAATAAATCAGTGGCAGTACACCACTTTCAGGCCTGTGACAATTTGTCAATCTAATAGGGAAGTAGGTGACCAGCCTCCTGTGCCTGACACACGCGGTCGACTTTTGGGTCTAAGGCAAGCCGGTTTCCTCACGATGTTTACCGTTCCAGCGAATGTTAAATGCGCACAGAAAGAAAGTCCATTGGTGAACAGCGTGGGTCGAAGCTATGACCTCAGGGATGAGAGTCGCACGCTGAGGCCAACAGTAGTCTGTAACCCGTAAGTATTTTAACAAAAATTTTCATATTCTATTGACCTAATTATGCTATAATTGTCGTCACATAAAGTTATAGTCGTCTAAATCACTTAGGAAAAAGATGTTATAGTAGCTTAGAAAAACTATGAATAAAAATATAGTTTCCAATAAAGCAACGCCAGGAATTTCATAGTAATCTTTACTATGCCTTTCAGGAATTTTTATCATAAATACGATTAAATAGTATTTTTTCTACTAATCATTTCAATAAAGCAATATTTGCGCGATAGTTGATTCGTTAGTTCTCATGTAATTTTCAAACATATCTTTTACGTAACACCAAAAAATACGAGCTTCTTCAACTAATCGTACAAGGCAAAGTGGCAGGTAGAAGAAGACCTGGCCGTAGACGCACGTCTTGGTTGAAAACCTTAGACAATGGTTTGGCCTAAGCACGAAGTAATTGTTTTGGAGCGCGGCATCCAAATTTAAACTAGCCATGATGATCGCCAACTTTCGCAAGTTGGAACTATAATAAGAACATTTTGTTTCTTAAATATTTCATAATTGATTGTCCTCGTTATTGGATGTGTGATGTTGATGTTGATGTTGTACGCTACATTAAGAAAAACATTGTTGAAACGTGAAAGCGTGCTGGGTTAATAACAGTGGCAGTAGGAGTTGTAGATTGGAGGAATTCAAATTATCGAGAGTCGACTTTATTATCGAGGCCACATATTGGTTCTAGTGTATGTAATGTAGTAATTCGTTTTCTTTCTAGTGCGGCTTTAAAAAAATAGAACACATACCTTGGTTTCATTATTGTCATATCGCGCTCGAAGTAATATTTGCATAACAAGCAGGCTCCGTTGTGCCGGTGAGAATTGTGTGTGTCTATCTTTAACTAAGAATCTGCAAAAACATAATTCATGAGAGCTGCTATGTGTTACATATATAAATATAAATGATAATTTAACTTACTGTTCGTCCCTCCTAACTCCAGGCCGTTCCGTGGATGTGATGAACGAGGGCTCAGGTTCTATTCTACTATGGTCGTATTCATATAGCTGTTTCCATTTCTGACGCCATTTTGAATATAACTTTTTGTCTTTCTCAGCTAGTTTATCGTCACTCTAATAATCAAAAATAGTATGATTTTTATTTCGGGTTTAACACATTCTACTTAACAGAAATTTGTTTATTATACAACTACCATAACAGCCAATGCGATGGTTGTGTAACTTAAGAATCGTAACATAGTATATTTAAAGTCGTTTGAGAAAATTTGAAAATTTGGTTTCAGAGACAGTATTGCAACGCCTTTGTTAAGGGATAACAAAATAACATTTGTTTTCGGCACCTCAAATAGTCGTTTGGTAAAAATAAACTGAGTTCTTGCAGAATCCTAATAATTCCGAAACACTTTAACAATTATAATGAATATACTGTATGTATCCCTGATAACACATTGCATTCTTAATTACAAATATTATTATTAAATTAAACTAAATACGAGATTTGAATTATGACGATGTCACGATTTAAGAGTTTTCTAAAGTTAGGCGTGCTATCTTCGGGCTCGTATGATTATGAATAATTTCTAAGTCAATTATTAAACTAACGTTGGTGCAAAGCCGTCAGGGCTGGATTTAGAGGTATGTAGACCTCGGGACAGCTGATTTTTTAAGCAAATAGCAAACAGGTTAGCCGACATCACAGGAGACCGAAAAGCTGGCAGCACCCTCGAACAAAGAATTAGTCAAACTATTCAAAGTAAAGGGGGAACGCTGCCAGTATCTTCGGAACCTTGCCTGAAGGGACTCCTTTTCATAAAATATTTTAGTTATTATATTTTAAGGTAATTTTTTTGTTATTAATTAGTTGATTTAAATATAGTATACAATAGTGTACTATGATTAAACGTGAGTACGTAATATTCAGTGGTTAAATATTTCAAACTTATTTTAATTTTTTTCGAGTAAGTTTTGTATCAATTAATAGATATTCATTTAGAATGCTACTAAATTGGGTAAACTTACCCAAGCTCTAACAGAAATGGTGATGAACCGTTTAGTGGGTAATTTCATTCCAATAACTTCAGCCAGCCTCATCTCAGTCTTCCAAGGAATGTGGACCTTCAAGAACCAGGTCTTACCATCGAAAGACAGGGATTTGTTTTCCAGTTCCAATTCCAGGCCTTCTTTTATTAGGTTTTCCTGTAAAACATAAAACATTTATTACACATTTAAAAAAAGACATTGTTTTAAACGTAATAAATAAATTATAAAATATAAATCAACTATATAAAAAAAAGCTTAAATTGAAATGATATTTTTTAGTATTCTGGCTAAAACAATTATTATTCCTCATTATATCTATCTATAAATTACGATGGCTGGACGATTTTGATTTAGTTTCTTTCAATATCAAACTTTATTTGAATTTCCAAGATAACTTCGAAACATACCAAAAATTTTAGTCGGAATCACTTAAGTTACCGGTTAACGCCCGAACCCAATAATCAATCCACAGATTGAAAACAATCTGAGATCAGACCGTGACAGACGATCGATCTCCTATCTGCATCCCAATAACCAAACCCTACGAAGACAATCCATTTTTGGCGACGGATAAAATGCTCTTTGTCGTTCCATTTTACCGAGTTTTCACTCATATTTGATAGTCAATGTAAACCAAATAAAGTAAATAAAACCGTACAAATAACATTAAAATATACATGTGTATATTTTAATGTTATTTGTAAAATATGTTTTTGGTTTAATTTTTGATTAATAAGTTTTCTACTGTCTTAGTTACTGTAAAAATAGAAAATAAATAAATAAGACTATTTAAAGATATTTGGTAATATCAGGCGCGTGTCATATTTTCAATAAGACGAAGATTCTTGATTTTTGATGGGATTACTTATTAGGAAGAAAAATCAAATAAAATCTAAAAATAATGATTAAACCTGAAACGTCCTCCTGTGCTCTCGTTTTCGGGCCTCGGCTTCCGTCATCACGCCGTAGTCTTCTTCCTCATATGCCAAAACCATGTCTATTCTTCTCCTGCCATCTCTGAACATCAGCGAATCCGGATCAAGTCCCTAAAATCCCATTTAAAATCTTTAACATTAGAAAATTAATCATTTGTATATACATAGGTTTTTAACCTAACTTCTATATACCATGTAATTATTTGAGCAACCCAAGTGTTCATCAAGAACTGGGTTTCTGTGTGCCTAGGGGTTATATATATCGGCGAAGGCCAAGGTTATTCGCGATACCAAAGGCCAGAACCAGTCTGTTGCACAGATCCCCGATAACAAAGACGTTGCGCCTATTGAATGCTGGCTCCGACACCATGTTCACAGTATAATGTATTTAATATTAACGAGTGGCGCTAAAACTTAGCTCTAAAAAATTTAGCTCTGAGCCTCAGATTTCTGTATCTGTTTCATGATCATTTGTCAATCTAATAGGCAAGTAGCTGATCAGCCTCTTGTGCCTGACACACCCCATCGACTTTTTGGGTCTAAGGCCAGCCGGTTTCCTCACGATGTTTTCCTTCACCGTTGGAGCGAATTTTAAATGCGCACATAGACAGAAAATTGGTGAATAGCTGAGGATCGAACGACCTCAGGGATGAGAGTCACTGCTCTGCTCACAGCTATATGATAACTATTTCAAAAAACAGACGGAATGAAACGGAAAAAACATGGACTACCTATTTTATTCATCGGTTATAAAGCTTACTTACATCAAGACTGGTCTCGCCGACATTCTCTTTTTCGTTTGGACCACTTGGAAGCGATTGCTTGTTATTTTTTTCATGCTCTGTGTTCTTGTACTCTGTTTGGGGCTGGTAAATAAAGAGAAAATAAACTATAAGAATCTTCATAGAAAAATGGATACTGAAAGATTTAATAATAGAATTAGTACCTGGTGGTTAGGCAGTGGTGTCCCGGGCAAAGCAGATTCCTTGAACTTCGGTATGAAAGCACTAGCTGCTGATGTCACGTTTCTAACTAACTTCCAGCCGCGTTTTGGCCTTTCTGGACTGTTCCTTGAAAGGTATTCTCGTAGACACATCTGCAATGTGATTCAACTTTTGAACAGTTCATGGGTTGAGTTAGAGTGCATGTTTGATATATGTTCGTTATCTAACAGTTTGTAATATTATTATATATTTCTGTTTGGATAAAACTACTTATAACATTAATAATAATAATAATTATTTATTTATTGCAAGAATATGGTAGAAAATGTTAAGGTGATACAATCATAAATCGTTCGCATATTCTGCCACACACGATGGCGCGCAAATTTGTCTTAAGGAATTTTACATTATTAGTCAAAGTCAATTCTTATATTATCTAGCCTATTATATTACATACATTACATCATTAATTTTATATTAATTACGGTGTTTCACGCAAATAATCATTTATTGAATAGTACATTTTTTCTAAAAGTAATACACTAAGTCGCTTTTTAAAGACTCTAGACGGAAGATCTTTTAATTATTTTGGTAATTTATTATAAACTTTAATTGCCATACAATAGGTGTTTTTCCGAAACAGTTCCAAATTGATTTTTGGTACAGGTAATTTCTTCCCATGTCTACTTCTTACTTCAACTTCTACATTTGATTGCTTATACCGCGGTTTTATTCCAGAGTACAAAAGTCGCGGTAGTAAATTGATTATAATATATACCTTTTTATCGCATCTCTCAATATATGGGACGCTCTGAAAAAAAATTCCCCTTTAAAAACTTTAAAAAAATTATTGTTTTCGTAAACGTAACGGTTGAAGACACATTAAAGAACTAAGAAGTTAAAAAATTGGTTCTCGTCTTAGTTATGTAACCTAACAGTAGTTAAGTTACATATGTATATATATTTTAGTTAATAAATAGAAGCACAAATCAAATGTTAGCAATTAACTTACACTTGTAGCTAATAAATTTTAAAACGTCAGTTTAGTAATAAATGTGCCCGGTTACACTCACTAATTGTAATATAACATTCTTGTTTCCAATAATGTCCAATAGGTCGATTACATTTATATTAAGTCAAATTAGTTTTTTGTTAGCGTCGCTACCCGATTACACCACATTTTATGTTAGTTACGAACGCGACACCAGGGCCAAGTTGAGAAAACTCCCACCGGATTTGACGCCTCCGGATACGTACTCCTGACATAACAGGAGGACCGATTCGAGCGTCGCTCCTGGGTCCTCACAATAACAAGAAATCTGCTGCGCGCTGCGAGTCGAGCCCTCTGTCTCTTTGCGCGCTGCGGCCCCAATCAAGGACTAAATGAGGCTTCTATTAAAACATTTCCCCAACTCTTTCATATAACCCTTATCTTTTCCCTCCACCCAACTAATACCAAAAATCAAATAACTACTATTACCTTATTAGCTGGACTTTCAATAATATTAGCCAGTGTTCCAAAAGCTGTGTCGCACGCTAAGCTGTCAGCTGACTTCCACGGGGTTCGAGGATGCAGTGGTGTACCTGGGAGTGTAAGGTCTTGACTTCGACGTCTGTGAACCTGAAAATATAAACATGATAGCATAACTATGTTCATATTGAAAATAGGAAAAGAAATTAACAGGGATATCCAGACTTCCAAGGCGTGAGTGAGCGATCCACCAGCTGGAACTTCACGTAGAAAATAGTTAAAAATCTACGGCCGAATTATTAAATAATGTCTATTGTTAATATAATGTAAAAAATAGTCATTCCACGGCGTCAATCCAGTAATTCTAGGCAGGCCAACGGTCAATTGTTATGTATTCCCTGATATTAATTGCTTGATATATGTGAACCCCTTCACATATGTCTCTCTTCCTTTCTCAAGCTAGAAGTGGCTGATTGACCAGCAGCATCATCGTGAGTGGCCTTCTGTCATGTCTCGGAGGCCAAAGCTCACTTTGTATTGTTGCGTCAGCGGAGTTAGATTTTTATGTATAAGTAATAAATTTAAAGAAATTTGTAAGTTTTGGCATGGCTAAGGTAGTTTAAATACCTCTTCGTCAACAGTATCAGATAAACTGAGTTCAGTTCTAGTAGTGGACGTTGAGCTGCCCAGGTCATTCCACGCGTTGTGAGTCGTGATGTAAGCGGTTGGTGGCTCCGAACTTGTTCCATCTGAAATTAATTCAGATGACCGCTAAGTCCACATCAAAAACTCTTGACGCTTTGGATAAAAGTTACCTTATTTTGGGATAGATTAAAAATAAAGACCGGTTATAAAGTCCTAAGGCATATATAGTTATATAACTATAACTTTATGTTTCTCTCGATTATGAGTTTAAATTTACGTTTAATCATACATTGATCTACGAAAATAAGGGCTGCTGAAAATTAATTTTATTTCCAAATTTTATTATCCAATGCAATGATTTGCGTAATAGCACATAAACATAATTCCAATCCATTACCTTGTCTAAAACCCTCCTGTCTCGCTCTTCCGCCATCATCACTATTTCTTCTAGACGAGGATTCACTCTGTGTCCCTTTAAACTTTTCACTCTCAAAGGTTATTCTATCCAAATTAGGTTCTAGCCTATTACTTCTTCCATGTTTCAATCCTTTATGGTTAAGATGGTTCAGAGCATTTCCTGTAACTGCACCATCTTCCATTGTTCTGGAACAAGAGCCGGACCGCTATAGCAAATGAAAAGATGTGTTATAAGAGAAAAATAAGAAGAATTATTATAGAAGAAGTGTTATAATTTCTTGTTGAATAAGGATGAACAAAAATAAATAAATCAGTAGTGCTACAACCTTTTTAGGCCTTAGATTTCCGAATCCGTTTCATGATCATTTGTCAGTCTAACAGGCAAGTGATCAGCCTCCAGTGCCCTTCACACGCCGTTAACTTTTTTTGGGTCTAAGGCAAGCAGGTTTCCTCACTATGTTTTCCTTTACTAATGAATAGGGATGAACCATGGAATAAACAAATAAGGCTTTAAGGGTTTAATGTACGATGACGTCACGGCAGAATACAAAATACCATCCGTATCACCTCGACGTCCGTCGTTCCACAACTGAGCGTTTCGTAAGGCAGTTTTTTGCCGCGCACCACTTCTAGTGGGCAGCTAAATTATTTCCGAACCAATTCAACTAAGTTCTTTCAAAAAAAGACCGTACCAGTTCTTAAAAGGCCGGTAACGCACTTGCGCGCCCCCTCTGGCTATGAGAGTATCCATGGGCGGCGGTATCAATTAACATCAGGTGAGCCTTCTGCCCGTTTGCCCCGTTATATTTTTAAATAACGCTGAAGTACTGATTTTGATGAGAAACCTTTACCTAATTATGTAATTATAATACAAAAAATATGTACAATTTCAAGAATATTTTTCCTCTAATACCTAAAGCAGACTGTATATCTCCAACCCTATACGCTATTTGGGCGCCAAAGCGTTAAAAAGTTATATTTTCTATTTATAAAACAAATAGTACTGATTAGAATCAAGGAAATACTTTTCAAATGCTGATATGTACGTCACGAACATATTAGATTCAGTTCTTAATAGCCAATCAATATTATAACAATTATTGTCTATTTTTAGAAACTTCTAATATTTTATGTATTTTTTACGCACGTACTATACTGTTATAGCAGCCAATCGTAATCTTGAAGACTGAAATTTTTGTTAAAGTATTGCCATGAAAAACACCTTGTCTGAAGTTATTAAGCAATTAGCTAACTTAACGCCATATTAATATTAAAAATGTTTTACATCAAATATAAATTCTTTTTGATGATTCTCCTTTATTTATACTATATATATATTGTATTCTAAATTTGAAGCTTCCATCTCTGCTAGAAGTGCCTTAGAGATTTGATGAGCCAGTCAGTGAGTGATGAAATTAAGAAATTGGAATCGTTACAATTCTTAATTCAAAGTACTGGTTCAAATTGAAATATATAGTGTTTATACAATCTCTGCTTGGGAACTGAAAATGCTTAAACTGCTTCGAGAAAAGGATGGTACGGCGCTGCCGCTTTATTGCTGGACTTGGCAGGCGCACTGCCATGCTGCGGTTGACAGTCCTTACTCTTGTTTAATTAATAGGATAATGGATGTGGTAATTTATAAACTTTTATTATTATTAATAATAGTAATAATTTATTGCAAGAATATGGTACAATAATGTGTAAGGTGGTACAATCGTAAGTTCGCATATTCTGCCACACACAATGGCGCGCGCATTTGTCTTTAAAGGAATCTTACATTATTATTCATATGAATTGGTCAATTCTTATATTACATGTCATATCATACGTTATAAAATTTATATCAACTAGAGAGTCTCACGCAAATAATCATTTATTGAATAATACATTTTTTCCAAAAGTAATACACCAAATCGATTTTTAAAGACTCTAGTCGAAAGATCTTTTAATTCTTTTGGTATTATGGTAAACCTTAATTGCCACACATAAGGTGTTTTTCCTAAACAGTTCCACATTGATTTTTGGCACAGCCAATTTCTCCACATGTCTACTTCTTACTTCGACTTAAAAATCTCGACTTATTTCGAGAGATCAGACTCATCTACATACACAATGTGGGCTAACAGTATTTGTGGAAAAGAGAGATGTACACGAATTTCAAGGGCACAACAGGCTAGAACTATTGTTCTATAATAATTGTCCCATACCTCACATTCTAAAACTAAGTGTTCCTATTAAAACACAATTACTTATATATTTGGCCTTCGAAAATAGTTCTAGTGACAGGTATAGCCGAGAAAAATCGATAAATAATATAATATTAATGCGCGGTGTGGCATTTCACAGCGTATGTTCGGTTCACACGACTTGAAGAGAATTGTTTTAAGTATTACCAACTAGATATTTTAATAGGTTTTAGTAAATTTATACGTTCAACCTGGAACAGGAAGAGGTTCATACATCCAATTGAGAAAATATTTTATCAGCGTTTTTGTACTATGTATATTATAATACGAGCAGTGTTGGACTAGTGGCTTCAGCGTGCGACTCTCATCCCTGAGGTCGTAGGTTCGCTTCCCGGCTGTATACTAATGCACTTTCTTTCTATGTGCACATTTATCATCCGCTCGAACGGTGAAGGAAAACATCGTGAGGAAACCGGCTTGCCTTACCTTACCTTTTTGCCACCCAAAAAGTCGACGGCGTGTGTCAAGCACTGGAGGCTGATCGCCTACTCGCCTATTAGATTTTCAAATGATCATGAAACAGATACATAAATCAATCTGACCGATTGAGAGAGAGTGAGAAGGGCGAATTACCTTATAGAAATTATATTTTTAAAATTAAAATATCTTTAAAAAAAATTTATAAAATATTATCTAGTATTTTATATTTTAAGCAAAATAATTTATTGAAATCTCAAATGACGAATTGTAAATTAAAATGCCACGTGTTTTTATTATCGAAGAAATAAATTTTAAAAATTAAATTTATAATTTGTATTAATTTTCGACACTCAATATTTTAATGATAATTAAATTCATCAAATTCCTAACATATCTTCGCTCTTCCCTCCCTCTAAGTCTTGGAAATCTAAAGTTTTAGATTTGCATAAATATGAACAAGACTTAGAAAGCTAGTTTGACAAAAAAGTTTCACTTCTGACATGTGTACTTTGTACGCACGCACTTTTTTATCACTTTCTGGAGCATAAAGCTCAAAAAGATCGTTTTCAGGTCGTTTTTAAACGAAATAGCACAAGCTCGATGAGCGTAACCAAGGTTGTTTGAAGTATTAGACACATTCATTCCCATACATTTTAAATGTAATTCCTAATTTTTATACTACATTTTATTTTATATATATATTTTTTATACTACATTAGGGTTGGGCCCCAGATTTCTGAATCTGTTTCATGATAACTTTTCAATCTAATAACAACATTTAGTTATGACAAATACAAAATGTGTTGACTAAATTATTACTTCATTAAAGATATAAATTAAAGTCAAATATAGTATAATGTAATAAGTATACATAAGCGGAAACCATTATAAACAAAAGCTGTTTCTGAAAGTTGACTGGGAAAAAGCAAAAAGCAGTCTGCATGTCATAGGATTTACGGCACTGCAAAGGTTATATATGACATCAATCATTGATGAGCTGTCGACCTATATTTCAGTTCGAACACTAATGAAACCTATTACAAACTAGGCATAAAGTTAAATTAGTATTGGATGTGTATAATCATTGTTGAGTGATAACATCGCGTGTTTACTAATACATGCCTGCCAACATTGAAGCCATAGTTTATTAAGGTTTCACAAAATTAAAATAGACCGCCTTTTATAGTAAAAAACGAGTCGTTATTGCTACGAGCCGCATTCAATTTAATCTATATCTTGGTTGGACGAGTTGGACAAGGTTGTTTTAATGTTTTTGTTTCTATTACAATTTGGAGTATCCCAAAGGGCTATGGAACTTTCTTTGCTTCGGTTGAAACTTAAAGACAAAGTTAAAAACGGTGTAATACGAGGCCTTAATACGTAAGAAACGTTGTAATACATTCAAAAAGTTAAAGTGGTAATGGGCCGCGTTTGACAGATAGGTCAAAAAGACCCTTACCTGGCCCATTGCATGCATTGGGAAGAAAAAAAAGGACGCCCACTAGAAACGTGAAAAGATGATAAAAGAGATAGCGAGGAAGGATTGGAAAATGGTAGCAAGGATAAGAGAAAAGTAGAAGAATCTGGAGGAAGCCTTCATTCCGTCGGAGGTCGTATACTAATGAACATGACAAATGTAATGATATGGACTTAATGTAATACTGATTACGTAGTACTCGAATACTATTTTTATTTTATAACAATTTAAAACGACGTGACCATTTACCAGATTCAGATAAAAGCCGCGGGAATATTTGTGGAATGACGCACTTTTCCGAGGAAAATCTAATGCACTTTCAGTATTAGATAAATAGGGCCATCTGCGCGTCTATGAAAATGATAAATAAATTCTATTATACAGTTTTTAATTTTTCAAAATAGATCAAACATGTTCATTACTGAAATTTAGAGTGTTAGTAAATTCGCTTCACTCAGTCTGACATATTATATTAATTTAAGTCCTATGTATTACAACTTTATTAAATTGAATATGACACGTAGACCAGGGTAGAAGCCTTTAAAAATAAATAAAAAGTGAAAAAATAATAGTAGGATGAAACCTATTGGAAAAGGAGGAGAATATTATAAAAATTAAAGGAAAAATATTTACGTGAATTTTCGATTGAAAATTAGGGTGCTTTTTCGATATTAATTCAAAATAAGGTGAAAAAATTTAATTTAAAATTTAATTTATTTTGTAAGTTTTCACCAAATTTCGTGGGAAAAAATAAATTTTGTAAAAGATAAAAATTAAAAACCAAAAACTTGTTTTTTTTTTAATTTTTCACATAAATTTTGAGGTGATATGAAAAATGTGTAAATTCAAAAGTTTTAGATCTTTTTATTACCTACAACTTTGCCATTTGACTTATTTCCATAGGACTTTTAGTTTTGCCGGAAATCGAGATAAACCCTTTTTTTACCCTTAAAACTCCAAACCTTCCCAACCTCAGATCGCCCGTAAATTATTTTTCCTTTAATTTTCAAAATATTCTCCTCCTTTTCCAATGAGTTTCATCCTACTATTATTTTTTTAGGTTTCAAAAATTATCGACCCTGGTCTAACGGGGTCTCATACATACTTATCGGCTCCTCCATATACGGTCCGAATTAGATTTGGTATTAATGGCGGAAACATAGAATTTATAGTTAAATTCTAAACTCTAGAGATATTTAAAATAAAATTTAGCTTTCCGAGTGGCTTCAGCGTGCGGCTCACATCCCTAGTCGTTGGTCGAATACTGGCTGACCACCAATGGACTTTGTGTCTTGTGCGTTTAACATTCATTAATCGGCATACCCAAAATAAAGACGGCGTGAGACAGGCGTTAGGGGCAGGGGACCCCCTATTTTTTTATTAGACACACACAAATCATCACGTAACAGATACAGAAATCTGACGTCCAGAACTAAGAGGTAGAAGCACTGCTTGTTTTTTTATATAGAGTTCTGAAATGTCTATAATTCACACTTTCAATTTATTTTTCTTAAATAAACTCTTTTGCAAAAGGAGAAGCAGAAGAGTTGGTACGTATTTCGTAGAACAATTCTATTAAAGCTGTGATTTTGGCAAGAGAAGGTCACACTCGTTATTAGGTTTTAACTTTTAACACTTGTAACTTTATTTAAAAATCTTCTTGTTTTTATTGCCGACTACTTATTGTTTAGGCGTGTACATCGGTTTTAAAGAATTCATCAAAAATTAATTAAGAAATTGCCAGAATTCACTCCACGCGTATTAATTTACGCGATTATAAGTATACAAAGAGAGTCAAAAATCATTTATTCATATAGGTAACACAATGTACACTTATGAACGTCAAAAAAAGGAATATACATTAAATGCTTCTAATTTTACATTTACTGCCAGGGCGATGGTCGATCTCAAATCAAGGGCGTAGAACGGAAGAGAAGAACTAGCAATAAACTCTCCGCCACTCTTTTTAATCGCCAAGTTTTTTGTTTTATATAAGGTTTGTAAGGAGCTGCAACCATTACACCATGTTCTACATGACATCTTAAGTAATACACTTAAGCAATACAGACTACTTCAGTCAATTAAATTTCATCTAACTAACTGAAATCAACCTTAGAAGGTAAATTTCCTTAGGTGCCTATTTTTTACAAAAGAGTTTACAACTCTAACAATGAGTCAGTTACCCAGTTTATAATTTATATTTTTTAATTGAAAAGCAATTAATTAAAATTTTGTTTAACTTGTTCCGCTCTGGTATTGAATGGTTTCATTTTAAATGTACATTTACGAAAAATATATGTTTTTTTATTGCGTCAAAATCAGACGCAAGGCTAGTCTAACAGTAAACTTAGTATTTACGATTACATCGGAGAAATCGTAAAATCGATACAATTAAATTCAATACAAGTTTTAGTGTTGTTCTAAAAATAATTGTTTACATAAAGCATTGTCTTCCAGCTGAACAAGTATGTTTTAACTAATTTATGGCTACTATCTAAATAGATAAGCAAAAATAAAAACCATCAACAGACCTTCAAGATAAGCGTACAAATTGTTAGAAGGCCTACAACGAGACTTCAGGTAATGTGGGTGTGTCCAAGGGCGGTATCATTTTACATCAGGTGAGCTCCAGCCCGTTTCCCTCCTGTTCTATAAAGAAATATGTCGTTGTTCAATCGTAGATTTAATCGCTTTGTGATTGCTGAAATTTTTAATATCAATACTTGGTCAACACGATTGACGGTTTTTTGGGTTTACCCTGCTTTAACATGATTAGTTTTGACACATCATAAGTTAACAAATGTACGATGTAAACATAAATAGTTGATTGTTAGTTAAAATAAAGTAAGTCAATAAACCTAAAGCTTGATCATATAATATTAGATGCTAAAGTACGTTTTTACCATTTAAATTACAATTCATATTAAACAATTTGATGGATCATATAACTTCTTCTCTTAAACATATAATATGTTAGATTAACTATATCTTGATTAGGACGCACAGAAAAATCGTTAATAATTTTACTAAAGTTATACGTCATACATGAATGAAATTATGATTAAAATCGCAATAGTAATAAGAATTAAAAATTGATTAATAGAAAATTAAAAAAAAATTAAAGTTTGGTCCCTGTGGCAGCGCACCTTTACCGCTGGCAGCAGTTCCTCGCTGTATTACGATACTTATTCGTTGAGCGAGGAAAGCACCAGCTATGGGGTCACCGGTACTATCTACCAGGCGCCAACTTAAATCTTTAATTAGCACCTGTGCACTTGAACTCCACGGACCAAGAGTCTCTACTCTACATTATCAAAGTTGTTTATAAATGTTTAATTATTATTATTAAAATTTTGGTTAAGAATATTGTAAATACTGTATATTTGTGTGTTGGAAATAAATCAACATCTGTTGATAAAATAGGAACTGTGCGCCTAATTATTTAGATTACTACATTGATACAATACCAACGCGCTATAATATTACACGCATGAGAAAACAATGATAAAAATGCTAAATATACTCACACAAAACTTATTTCGTCATCACAGAAAAACAAAATTTTTTCACAATAAAGATTATAAATCACATGCTTTTAAATTTATAAGTATTAATAAATCAAGTTGTCTATGACAGAGAAAAACAAAACATTATGCGCGATTTTGTAACGCGCGCTTCCGATGAAATTCGATTTTCAAATAAACCATTCAATATGGCCGCACTTATGACCTAGTGCTGCTATTACGTATATGTCGATATTTTTATAAAAATAGATTTTACATTCAAGGTTGAAGAGAGATTTGCTATTCAAACATATTAGATGGATGACAACTTACGATTAGGTGACGACTTCCAGCGATGATGTCAAATTAACAACATTGTTTTATAATATTAATTTGTTTTTACAAAAAATCCACACGTAAATACAATTTACAACGCGAGCCCTCTAGCATTGAGTGTCGATGGGCGGTTTAATATTAATAATGATTTAATATTAATAATCGTAGGACCATGGATGTTGAAACCATTATAATATTTAACTTTATTTATTTTAAAAGCAAAATATTTGTCTAAATATTCATTAGTTTTATCGACATTGTTACATCACTATTAATGGATATCGGAAAAGCCTTTTTGACTTGATGTCACGATACGAGAATGAATAATTTCATGCCTGAAAAAGCCCTTAAAAGCGTTTCTAACTGCATATATTGCATCGAAAAAAAATTAAACTTATAATTACCAATATTATCATTTGATAAACCTTTTACTTGGCTGATATTTTTTACATTTACCGGGTTTGTCATTGCAAACAATTGTATGAAAAATCCAAGTGACCTTTACTGTTGACCTCAGAATTTTGAAGTCTCCTTGATAATATTCCTTTCTAAACAATGGTCAATTTGACACACGCCGTCGATTTTTGGGTCTGGGACGAGTTTCCTTACGTTTTCCTTAAACATATGAGTATGTAGTAATTGCTTATTGCACACAAACAAACATTTTACAGAGTCTGAACACGATCGCGCCGCAAGGATAATAATACAGCTCAAATTAATAAAAATAATCTTAGAAACATCTATGTATAAATAATAATTATTAATCTTCCCTATAAATCTTGTTCTTTATTTAAATTATATTTTTTGAGTGAATACTAACAGTAGGTACGTGTATAACTATTATATGACGTGTTGTTATAGCAAGATAAGCATTGAACGTATAAAGTACTACCACAAAATACTTATCCTATATTCAACAAAAAAGGAAGTTTACAAAAGCCAACATTTTCCCCAATTTATGGGATAATTAAATTAAAATAATAGCACGCGACTTGAACACAACGTAGAAGTACATTTAACGTTTGATAACCAAGAAAATGTCGAATATGTTGCTATTTATTTAAATACTTATGTTATATTTCAAATTATGTAAATTAAGGAATTAGGAAATTAACATAACCTACTTACGCAGCCAAGCGGCGCCCAATTTATCAAATAAGTGAAATTATTTTTAAGCACGCATTTAATAATTTTTCAGACACGCAAATTGAACTTTTGTGTTTTAAATTTTGTTATTATTAAATTGCTCTGAAGTATATAAATAGCTAGTGTTTCTAACGACTACTCAGATTTGAGACTTAATGCTAATTCCTGACTTCCTTACCGATGAATGGCCCACAAATTTTTAAACAATCATTTATCACCATTCTAGCTTCTTGAAAGTAAAGTCGCAATAAATCGGTTTACAAAAAATAGGTGCATTTATTAAATAAAAATTAGATATTAAGTATATATAATATATATCTGTGAAACGTTGAAACGCTTGCGTTCCGATATATTAATTATACTTTTTACGTTCCTTTAAAATATTAGTTTATTAAATTAGAAGGAACAATTAAAGCGACATTTTAGGTACAAAGTCCACCGTGTTAGTCGAACTGATGATGAAGAGCATGATTACTTAATTGCGGAAAGACGTCCCTAGTTGAAAAGTTCTTAATTGTTGCCGTTAAATTTATTTACGAGATATCTGAAGCTTCGCCCTCGACCAAAAGAACTGATTGATTGACGTTTGATTTAAAGCAAGATTGCAAAAATATATCTGTCTGCCAGTACATACATAATTTTTGAAAATTTAAGTTTAATAAATTTTGTTTATTTATGTTACTTTCATAAATTAAATACTCAATTAAAATAATCTTGCAGACTTGCTTGGTACATTTAACTATAACTACAGTATAAAGGTACTGATTAATAAATTATAAAACGAATTATTACGTTATTTTTATAGTAGGGATAATAGGTATGTCAACTGTCAATTTGACATACGATGCTTTGACAACTGAGTGACGCTACGTCTGAGTCGTCAGTTAATTCTTGAGAAACAATGATTGTAAATTTACTATTATTTTTGTTAAAAGTTGAAAGTTGATACTCGTACTTCGTAGTTGAACTATGTTGATACTTTTTTATTATTCAAATTATAAATATAAAAATATATAGCTAATCACAATTTATCAAAAAGAATGGAAAATAATTATCCTATCAAAATACCACCAAAACTAAAGAAAGCCAAAAACGCAACAAAGGATGAACTTCTAAAATTGGATAAAGAAGTAAAAAAGTTGAAGATATTAACGTTAATAACATAACCTTAACAAAATGTAAGATTTCAATTTTGTACTTTCAGGAATTAGTTGATAGAATAATACAGTTGGAAGCTCATAATGCACAGTTAAAGAATATTATTAGTAAAAATATATCTGAAACTGATGAAACTGGTAATAAAAATAAAAGGCAGTATGACTTTTCAAAGTAAGTTTAAATTCTTACAAATATAAAATATACTGGTTATGGTTTAGTCACATCAATTTTCAAAGTTTTAGCAGAAATATAAGAAACATATTAATAATGATGCAAAGTTTTTATTTACAAATAATATTTTCTACAAACACAATGTATATTCTGTATAGATGCCACCATCGCCGAATACTACTAAAGATCCTGTACTTTGGATGGGATTACCATGGCTTAGCAGTCCAGGAAGATTCAACCCAGACCATAGAACATCATTTATTCAAAGCTCTAGTTAAAACCTGTCTTATAGAGAGTAGGGAAAAGTCACAATATCATAGATGTGGACGGACAGATAAGGGAGTTAGTGCTTTTGGTCAGGTGAGTGTATAGAAGTAGTAATGGTTTATATTGTTATTCTATCTATTATGTATAACTTCACTTTATCCTTAAATATAATTTTGTTCTACAAAAGTAATGCACATAAGTTCAAAATTTAACTTAAGACAACATTAAAAGCAATTGCTATTAGATATACAATTTAGAAATATATACAAAGAAAAGACATGGCTGCAGTTAGAACTTACAATTATTTCTATAATTTTCAGGTAATATCAATAACAGTAAGGAGTAAACACCCATCAGATATACAAAATCTGGCAGAATCATTATCAACTGAGATAGAGTATTGTAAGTTATTGAATCGAGTTCTGCCTAAAGATATTAGAGCTGTTACATGGATGCCAATACCAGATGATTGTGAAGCCTACAGTGCCAGGTAATACAAAAATCAGTATGAAAACTTAAGTATGATGAATCCATAAAAGGTCTTTGAAATATATAAATTGCAATTACCCCTTCGCTATACTATTTTTGCCTTATGACTAAGACTGGATGTTTTTCACAGATTCGACTGCAAAAAACGCAAATATAAGTACTATTTCCCAAAATCCTCGTTAAATATTTTAGCAATGCGAGATGCTTGCTCTCGCCTGATTGGTTCTCACGATTTCCGCCATCTTTGTAAAATGGACGTTGGTAATGGTGTTACTCAATTTAGGCGGCAAATTTTGACAGCTGATATAGTAGCCATCAATGAAGGTGGTGAACGTAAGTGACTTTTATTGCTATTTTTTAAATAATTTGCATTTATAATGGTTACCAAAAGTTTTACAACAGTATAAATTTAAACAATAAATATAAAACCTTACATTTCAGCTACTTCTATGTATGTGTTAGTCCTAGAAGGCAATGCATTCTTATGGCATCAAATAAGATGCATCATGGGTGTCTTACTACTTATAGGTGAAGGAAACGAGGAGCCAAGGGTTATTAATGACCTACTTGATGTAGAAACAAATGAAAGGTTAGAATTATAAAAAGCAATATTGGTGTACATCCTAATTTAAAAAAAAATCTTCTGTAATGCAATTGAATAACAAGTAACAACTGACCATAGATGAAATTATTGAGTTACGGAATTTTTTTTTAAGATGTTTAATGTAAATATGTAGAACTTGGATACATTAATATTATCGGTAAATTCAGTCTTTTTAGTTTTTTTGTACTTTAGAATTAAAGATTTGTTGTATTTTTGTGTAAGACATTACATGATGAATGTCACAACACGTGTATAAAACGTAAATGTTTTTTAATCCATTAGTAATAAAGAAATTCATTTCTTAATATGTATCTTTAATTTGTCATCATCAGACTACTTTACAAATAAAAACTATTAATTTTTCAGAAAACCACAGTACAACATGGCTATAGATGTGCCGTTAAATTTATTTGAGTGTACATATGATTTGGAAAAAGCATCTAATTGGGTTTATACAGATGAATTAAAATGTGTTATAGAGAATTTACAAAAGATGTGGGCATTGCAAAGTGTAAAGTTAGTACTTAAGTTACTTTTCAAAGATTTCCTGATGCTCGAAACCAATGCCTATGGATATAGCTAACTACTATGAGCAACTCATATAGCTGGTCATACAAAACATTTTTTCACCAATTATAGGTAATTTAGAAAAAAGAAAAGTAATAATATGTTTTACTCTTTTTCAGAGCAACAATGATAAAGGACTGTATTGAAAATTTAGAAAATGTTCATTATACAATAAATAAAAATAAGAGTGTGACAGAGATGGAGAATTGTGAATCAAATGTTGTAGGAAGAGATAGCATTATGGTGTATTCTGATGGCTTAACTCAAGGTGTTAAACCCAGAATATATGTTCCTTTGTTAAAAAGGGAAGTTTGTTGTAAGTATATATTTTTAAATTGATTCAATTTATTTGATAGAACTGTGAATCAGTTGTTATAAGTGCACCACACCAATGGTAATTTTGTATGATATCCTCAATTGCAGACACATTTTTTCGTCGTAAAATGTTGGAATAATATTTTATGCAATATTTAATTCGTTAGTTCGCAACATTCGCTCATCGCTATTAAATATACTATTGCTAATCCAACTTTAATGAATAGAATTGCATTACTTTGTGTATTTGGAAACACATATAAACATACAAATAAAGTAAATGTACGTTTTTAAAGTTGGAAAGTGCTCATGACAATCTTGCAGCATAGCTTTTATTTGTGTTTTGAAAACAAGCACTTTTCAGTGTTTTTAAGTACTCATAGTTTAGACAATTGCGCTGGAGTGTAGATGTAAAAATCTAAAAATGTGTGGTCTGTACTAAATTTTGTCTTAATACCAACATGCATCCCAATTAATACAATTTTTTTATTTTAGCAAGCTTAGAAGAGCGGATAGAGCATTATATGAAGAAAAAAAAATTGGATCATAATATTATAACATAATGTAACAAAATATATGAATATACATATTAAATTAGTTTTATTTACCCAAAAGTAACAGTAAATCAGTAATTATAACAAGTATATTTTATCGCCGGGTGGTCCAAGGACATCAATAGACCAGCACCAGGCATAAAGCTCTCGGCCGGTGAACTAATCATCATACGGCATACCACATACTATTTTTTCATAAATAATTCAAGTAAGCTTAATGTGACCAGATTTAAATCTTCACAGATGTTCATCGCTGATTGTATGGATAACGGTTTCTGACACGTCGAGACATTTTATCATTCAGCGCCATCTCAAATATTACACAGTTGACAATTTTTTTTATAATAAGATATGCGGATGTTTCTTTAGAATTTTTTAATGTCTTGGTTACGTTGTCATAACATCTACAGATAAATCATAGTTCAGATACTGTACCTATGTCTAAACGCAAAAGGAAGGTTTTCTGAAAAAACAAGTAATTTCTCTAGTCAATACAAGATGGCGCTACCAACAAACGTAGCAATAACTAAATCCATAAAATACTAACCATTATAATTTTATAGTGTAATTAGGGCCAAGTCATTTTATAAATTATTCATTGGCTATAAGCAATAATTATTGATGGCGAGCGGTCGACACGATTCCTAATTTAAAATTGAAATAATTTAATAAAGCAAAAAGTACCGACCTTTCTGAGTGTTTTGTCTGTACCTAATTGTCTTTGCTGGCATTGTGAATGTGCGGAACGTTGTACCTACTAAAGTTAATTCAGCCTTGCTTAACTACTGGTCATATTTTACTATCGCACTGAACATTAGTTATGCAGTAATAGAAGGCTGCTACGGGCGCGTAACGGTCTTTGCCGTGCGTAAATCCGGTTTATAAAATATATTACGGTATAAAAGAAAATACTTTATTTTATAGTATTGTAAATTTAATATAGTTTTTATAGTTCCCTTTTTTGGAAGCTATATTTTATAATATTTGGCCACGTAATATAAAAAAAAGTAAAGTAAAAATTATATTCAAACTGTTTGGATTTTAATTATAATTGTTTCCAAACTTGTGTGCTTCTTTAAATTAAGTTTCAGTTACATAGTTATAGTAATAAGTCTAAAAATTAATAAAACGCGCTTTTTCACATGATTTTTTTGTTGTTGACTTTGACAATTGACATATTTATTATCACTGTTTGAGTATTATTATTTATTTCATTTAGAAAAGTTGAACTTAACTTACAAGAATGCATTAAATATTATTTTAAAAGTATATAAAATTTATGTAACAAAAAAGATAATTTAAACTAGATTTACATCTATCACTATACGTTAATAAGTGTTAGTATGTATTAATTTTCATATTTTGTGAATTTTTAAGTGAAAACTGAGGATATTTTAGATGGGTAAGATGGTTAAATTAAAAGAAAATAATATTACTAATGTCTGTTCTTATAATAATTAATATCAATATATATATATTATTCAGAGTAAGTTGTAAGAAGTATCCATCATACTTCTTATTAGTAAAAAAACTATTTCTAATTACTTAAGTTGGTGTATTATAATCCCAACTATAAGTTACAAAATCTATGTTATATAATTTTTTCAAATAACAATCATATTTAATGACATTTTTTCTGGGTCTCTGATGATTTTAAAGTAAAAATAAACCACCACATTTGCAATGTTAAGACTTGATACAATATATAGAAAGTTTTAGTAAGTAAGTAAACTATGTGTTAAGGTATTGTTACATATATCTGACATTGTAAATGAAATCTTTATTTCAGATTCTCAAGAAATTAGAAATTATAGTCGACGAAACAAACTTATATTATTTTTTTAAAGACATATAAAAATGTGAAATTTAAACGAACATTCCTATTTTAAGGCCAGTATTAGTGAATTAAGTACATATATCAATATAGTATTATGAAGATAATGAAGGAGTATTTACTTTGTAAGTATTTTTAAACAAATTTGGATATATTTAAATATTTTTAGAAATAAAAAAGGCCTGTTACTCAGGGATAATGTAGCATATTAATGATGGAAGAATAAAATCATTTTTAGAAATAAGCCTGTAGTTTTTGAGTTTATACATACAAATTATATATACAAAAATAAATATTTTCTCTATTATTAGCTTATATATTAGCTCTATTATGTTAACTTAAAAAAACAAATCAGGGGAACAAGAAGAATTACTTTATTTGTATATTTAAATCAGTAACAGAAACATACTACACTATTCTCTATAATTTATTGTATTCTTTATTATTTTTTGCAGTTACAAATCTCTTAACTGATAACAACACTTAATGGTTTACATGGTAAGTACATTTCTTACTTTCTAATATAGCATATGCCTTTCCCTTCTTGTTTATATGATTTATCAGAATATGATAAAAGCTTAATTAAAATCTAATGTTTTATTTAAAATGTCTACCCTCTAAGTGGTATTTTTGGTGAAGAAGCCAGAATTAGGCAATTAAATTGTAATATTAAACCCATAATAATATTATTTTTATAACAGCAGAAATATATATAAGTAATTCATTTTCTTAAGAAATCCTCCGTTTTAATAACATAACATATTATTAAGTTCATTGCAAATTTCTTCTAAGCATGTAAGTATTCTTTGAAACCAAACAAACATAGGGATTTAAACCATGTTTGTGTGACATAACTCACCAGTTTTCTATATTATGGTCTAGTTATATGTATGTTACTGTACTAATAACTTTTACATTAAGTATTACGCAATTTAATTGAGGCTAACATCTTACAGATGAGCTGTGGCCTCACTGTAAGGTCATTGAGGGCAGTTTTTGAAACGCCGTTATATTATGATATTTTTATTCAAAAATGTTGGTGCGTAACTTTGTCTCGTAAAGTTCTTGTACTTTCAGTAAGACACGCTTAAAACAATTTCTTAAAGCATTCAGCTCTATCTGGGTAATCTATAAAACACTAGGTTGATTTTCGTTTTAAGTAATTATTTAATTCGGTCATGACGCAATTACTTTATATCACTTAATATGAAGAAAATTTGACTTTAAGAACCCAACTCCAGATTACTTAGACAAGAGTCTGTGGGCTGACATTTGTCATTCCTATAGCGAGCATCAGGAAAGCTATCAGACAGTAGCAAGTAGTTTTTTTTATTTTGTTTATTTTTTTTACGTCAATACTAAATTCTGTACTGTCAGACAGCCGAATCGAATGTCACAACGATAGGTATTCGGTTTTATCTGTTGTTCGTTAGTCTTCCGCGCTCTGATTGGTTGCTCCGTCTGAAGTGAGTTCGCAAATAAACTCGACAATATAGAAGGTGCTGATAACAGTTTTCAGTTTACAGTCTGAATTCATCCAATAGTACAAATAATTTTATAGATTTTTACTAATGAATAGTTCTCCAGAAAGATAACCCTAGCTCAAACGTTTGTAAAAACTAGCTTTTCTTTGATCTTACTATGTTGCAGTTTAAAACAATACGAACTCTGACGCATGATTTCGGGAATCCATAATTGTTGGCGCCATTTTTGAGATTTTTACGAACCCTCTTGTAGAATTAATATTTATTTGAGACCTACGGAATCGTCTACTTTTAAATTAGTTGCATCTTGTCCTTTTAAAGGCACAATCGTGATTAGTGATTACGTGACCGACTTTGAGGTGAGAACGGACAGACAAAAACTAGTCGTTACCTTAGGTATCGTGCATACTGGGAACAGAACTAAATCAGTGTTTCCCAACGTGGAGCTCACGCCCTACAGGGGATAATTTGATTGTTAAGGGCCTATTAACATTTATTAAAATTATTTGTAATTTAAATTTCAGTTTTTCATTATACATATTAATATGGTTTGGAAAATTTACTTATTGTTTCGTTAACAATTTCTAGTTATTTCTTCCTAAAACCTATCATTTAAGTTTATTAAGTGAAAAATTAATTTTTCTAAAATTTTAAATTATGTATGTGGGGCATGGCATAAAAAAGGTTAAGAAACACTGACCTAAACAATAAAAAGAGATTTATATAATATATCGTAGTTTTGCTTGCCTAAAACTTAATAGATTTTCATAAAATTAATATACCTTAAACTATGACAATATTGGAAACATTATGTATCGGCTTAAGATCTTTATTTTTTTTAAATAATATCCAATCCAAACGGACTTTACTACAGTTGTTGCTATGGTTACCTATATATGCAAGTAAAATCGTTTAATAAGTCCGTTCAACAGTGTGATTGTTCTTAGTAGTCATTCAATAACGATGTACAGATTTTTACGACATTAAAAACTATTTTATCACGCGACTCAAAAATATAGTTAACAAAAAAATGTGCAAACATTTCGTGGTTTTATAGGATCACAGATATGTACTATAAATATATGTGCTTTAATTGTAAACTTATATGTGAAGGCAACCTTACAGTTAGGTGTGCCCGCTCATCTGTCGACCTTCGTTTCAACTCTAATAGCATCTTGCTTGATTCCACACGGTTTCTATTGCACATTTTTATATTTACTTCCGCCTGTGATTTTACCAACATAAAATAAAAATAAAAAATTCTATTTCGATAACATTCCATTTTAGTTAGTACAACTAAAAGACTTGTATTTAGTACCCACAAATAAATTAAAAATTAATTAACAGCCTACGCGTACAGTCTCCCTACATCTAGCAACATTATTACAGTATGCATATATTTATTTATTTAAGAAAATCGAAAACGTTTTAAATAATTAAGTAGGTAGGTAGGTACTTCTTATTTTATAGTGTGTTTTCCATTTCGATTCGGTAAAATGTTTACGGAACGTCACGAAGATGTGCAGCGTTTTTGTCGAAGAAAATTTCGTGAAGAGAATTTATCAAATATTAGTATTTTATATTTTATACAAAATAATTTATTGAAATCTCAAATGACGAATTGTAAATTAAAATGCCACGTGTTTTTATTATCGAAGAAATAAATTTAAAAAATTAAATTTTTAATTTGT